TTTCCTGTTACATTTTTATTAGTTGCAAAATTAAATTTAAAATCTTACAAAACTTATCTTACTTATTTTAAACTACAGATTATATAAGAAACCTAAAACTATCTGAACACAATATATACATGAAACCAAATTTCTTCATATTTTGATGAAAATTCCTGATAAAAATGTTTGCTGTGAAATATTAGCCAAAAGGTGAGCAAGATAGAATAAATCGTTTTATTGTAAATTAAAAATTTATGAAACAATTACAATTATGTTCAAATTATGGAATTGTTCACTCAAAAACAGTGTTATTTTTTGGCCTCTGAAGATAATATTTTGAATAAAATAAATTTTATCTAAACTATCTGACGCTATAAAAGATGTGTAAAAATTGAAATTTTTAAAAAGGTCAGTTATCATCATCATCATCATCAATAATTATCTGGGTGCCTGGGGCCGTTAGCGGCCTTTTTCCCATTACTTTTGCTTTTAAATACATAAATATTTTTTTTCTATTGAACTGCCGTTGATTTTAAATAAATAGTTTTTTAGAAAAACATTTGAAAAGAAAATAAATAAGAAAAAAGTGCGCGGTTTCTGACAACTTTAAAAGTATAAATTTGGTGACGTAGCCCTCGAGTGTTACCACATAATGTTGTTCTAAGGCTACTATACTAGGATTCTAATTCAGGGGCTCTATGTTGTTCAATGAATTTATCTGACATAATGAATATAAAATAATTTATTATTTAAATGTTTGCAACAAACTATTTTTTTCTTCATATAGAGCAATAAGCTAGAAATGATCACTGATCTTATTCTTAAAATATGTGAAAAAATGAATTGTCTATACTTAAATTTAAGACAATGAACCAGTTTAACCAATCTGAAATTTTTTTTACTCATCCGGTTCGAATGGTTCGTTGAAGAATGTTCTAATACCGACAATGACCTTCCTCGTGCTTTAAACTGTCTGTATTCTAAGTTTCATAGATTTCGGTTGGATGGTTTAGGAGTCTATAAAGGACACCCACACACAGACATTCCTTTTTATATAGATAGATAAGGAAGTGGTCAATAAAATAAAGTAAAGAACTATTATTCCCACCTTCTAATCAATTGGTAATAAAATTATTTGGATGCATGTGATCTTTTTCCGCTCTGAAAATGTCACTTACCTGGTTCTTCCTCTAAGTTTTTTAATTAATATAGCTAGAATAATAATTTTTATATATATATTTTATAAAAGATATAATTTTTTTAAATTTAATGTTATATGCACTAATCTTCGGTGGCTTTACGTAATCGAAGTAAGAAAAGCTCTTTTTTTGTATTTCATATCATTGGATTAAGGATAAAATGTATTTAAAATTAATCACGATTAAGTGATTTTCTCAGGTACATATCCTTTAGAGAGGCAGAAAAACACTTAATTCCAAAGTATGGGTATTAAATTTCAATATAATATTTTATAATACTGGTATTATAAAATATTATATTGATTTACAATTTAATATGTATTATATTTAATATAATGTAGGTATTAAATATCAAAAAATATCAATATAATATTTTATACCTACATAAGTATATTTGGTACTTATTACATAAGCCTTTAACAAATAAGTTTATGCATATTTGTCAGTGGCAGCCAACTAAAGCCGAATTTTTAAAAAAAATATATACTAAAACTTCATACGGATTTCGGAGCATAACCATCGTTGAAAAGCCAACCCAATTTTAGGGTTCACGATTACTAATGTTCACTCCGTAGTCTTGTAATTTTGAACCCAATCCAGAAGACAAGGGAACTCCTGGATCAGTACCGGCAGAGGTATTGATTTGTTATAGGAATTTGGAGTACTTTGTGCACTAAGCAAATTTACAACAGTCACCCTCGAGGATTCTTCGGCTGGCTGGATTCAAACTCTCGAACACGAGTCCAATGCCCTACCAACTGGGCTATCTTGGCCTTGGCCCATTTATTAGCATTATAACAGAAGAAAGAGTTCTTCGTGAACTGATGCAAACCAAAATTTTATTTCACAGTCAAAGTTTTGTATTCATTTCCTGTATTCATATGTTAATTAGAGGATATTTACGACATATCGAACAGAAGCTCTCACGTTCAATTTCTCAAGTGAGTAGAATTATCTACTATCAAAAATTTTAATTTAAATAATTAGAAGTTTTCCTTCATTGGTCATAATTTCTTGTTGATTATTAAATATAATTTTGAGGCTTTCGCTTGCTAGAAAACACTATATTTTCAGCATGAAGGTGTACACATAAAATAACACAAATTTTAAAGAAATAGTGCTAGAAATTATTTCTGTTCCTAATTCGATTACTGCAATTAGCGTTAGTTTAAAATAACAGATAATCAACAGTTCCTCGAATTTAGTTTAACAATGCTAAATTTCTAAACAAAAAAAATTTTTTGACTGGTCTTTTCAGCTTTAAACATATTTATGATAATTTCACTAGCATTATATTTTTGCCATTCTTAAAATTATCTGCCCTTTAAATTAAACCCATCAAAATATCAACAGTTAAACGTATCAATCCTTTTGAAATCTTTCAACCAATAACAGGGATTGAAGGAAATAGTGGGGACCCCCTTCCTTAAATTATTCGCAACTTAAAAAAAAAATATTTTTAAATTCTTTTCTTTTCGTTCTTTAAAGTAAAAAAAACTGCAATAAACCATATATTTATGTTTTTTTAATGTAAGGTAATCAATTAAATGAATTATGTATAATGTATTATCACTTATGTATAATGTATTATCACAAGTTATATTTTTAATGATTCTTTCGTTTTTTTATAAATAAAATAATTGTTATTATTCGACCGTATCCATTTCTAGTGTATAATTGAAGTTAGAAATCATTAGTGTAGTCTAAAAAAACATGATTGCAAATATTTTTCAATATTGAGGAATAGTTTTCAAATAAAATTTCATAGAAATGCTGTCTAAAGTCTTTATAGTATACATTTTATTTCAGATTGTTTAAATTGTATATTGCGCAAAAAAAAGAAAAGAAAAGGTCTATCCTGAAGAAATTCTGATCTAATGATTGGATTTTTAAGTTCTAGGACTCGATAGTAATGGTTCGAGGGATGACCTCAAGTATGCTATTTAATGAGTGCAGGCGATATTATCCGTTACGACATTAGGCGTAATATGGACTTCTGTTGAACAAATATAACTTTTTTGGCGACAGATATTTGGACACAAATCTTTGGAAATGGTTCGGTCGCTATATCTCCGGAATTGTTTTAAACAAAATAAAAAGTTTTTGCACAAAATTTTAAAATTTCTGTATCCGAAGATGGTTTCATGCAAAAATAAAAATTTTAGTAAATTTTTATTATTTATTTTATTATTTCATTTAATAATAGTCATACATTTTTGAGTTGTGTTATAAAAATTTGAATACTATAAGAATTTCGTACATTCTTTTAAGAGAAGTAATTTTACATTACGAAATACGAAATTTGAGTGAAATGGGTCACATTGTTCCTGAAACATAGTATTTTAAAAATACGGCTTTTTGTTTATTCTGTGAAAGTATGTTTTTGAGTGTGAATTCGTAAAATGAAATATCATTTAAACAAATTAATTGGCATATTTTAGATTTCTTTTCGAACTATTACTATTGAGTTTTAAAACGTGAAGATCCGATCATAAGGTAAAAATTTATGCTATGTGGTCTGGTTTTTTTGCGATACGAATACGAATTGCAAAGGAAAGAATTACCTTTTAAGATAAATATTTGTTCTGATTCAATTAAATACGAAACGATTTGATGCTAGATGAGATAGGGAAATATTTTTCAGGAAATGTATTTGTTTTTTTCTGTTAAAACTTGTACATTCCGTAATTAAAATTACGCACAAAATGTTTTAATTTAAATAAAATTAACTAAGTTTTCAAATTGTAGTATTCCAAATAATTTTAAAAACTGGAATATATTATTACAGATAACAACCCACCAACTGAAACTCATAAGTTAGAGAGAATGAACAATACGAAATCATTCTAAGTTTTTTTCAGATAAAATATTTAAATATTTAAAGTCTGGGTATTTTTGTTAAGTTTTAAAAAGAAATAAAAACTAGTAAAATTTCTTTGCGCTATATATTATAAGCTAAGTTTTATTTTAATAAGAAATATATGAATAAATGAACTAAACTGAGGCTGAATCACATTTAAATGGCTGAATGAAATTACATTTGGATGACTGAATAAAATCACATTTGGAAGACTGGCTCAATATTGTGAAGTCAAGTGTGATATCTGTGACGTCAACGGGTGGGTCTATAAAAGTTCACTATGTCCATCTTTGACGTCACATTTTGTTAAAAGGAAACTACATTGAAACATTTATGTGTCGCAGTGGCAATGGTGTCACTGTGTAGCGAAGAAATAAAGATATTCATGTTTCAACACAATCTTAATGTGTAGAAACTGTGGCACATTTACGTTTTAACATGGTCAGAGTGTGACAAAGATGTGACATAATCACACGTCAACAGGGCCACAGTGTGACAAAAATGCGTCATTTTCGACTCAACAATGTCTCCGTATAACTAAGTTGAGGCATGAATATGTCACATCTTCATCTCAAGGTGACGTCATTGCGACAGTTAAATATCTTATTGTGATCTCATGTTAACGTCTGAGAGAAGTCTCAAAATGTGACATCAAAGATGACACATCGACATCGCAGAAATCATATTGCATTTACAGAACGAGCCTTTCTGACTCTAGCGGCATAATGTTACTAAAACCTGATCTTAATTCGGTATGCTCCTATTAGTACCAGTATATACTCTGTAGTATCTATACATTTAGACAGTACGGGCTTGCATCAGCGTTTCTTTTTCCTTTCACCGGTCCAAAGCGTGTAAAGACGGTAAACCTATAAATATTTCAGACAATACCATAACATATAATTGTAAACCCATAATTATTTCATGTTGCTACGGCTCGATAAAAAAATTATAAAACATTAATGATACGAGAAATTTAATGATAATGCATGGATGAATACATGTTTTGAATGTTTCTTATATACAAAGATACAAATGTCGACTAAAGCAGACACAGAGCTCGTTCTTTAAAGATGTGTGAGACACAGAGCTCGTTCTTTAGAGATGTTCATTCTAGAATTTTGTTTGTTGACTATCGGCTACAGTGGAATCTTTCTTTTCAGAATTTTCCTCCTCGCTTTCATCATTCCATGGTTGGAGTTCAGCTGATGCAAAAATGTTATAGAAAAGTCCAGTAAAGAAATGGATACCCGCTAAACTAAGATATACAAGACCCCAATTTCGGAGTGTTTGCTGAAAATACAAAAAAAAGAGAAGCCAATTACTATTTAAATTGTAAAAAGTAACATTATATAAAATATAATTTTAGTGAAGATGCACTACAAATGACAAACGATTGATATTTATCCTTAAGTATGTATGAATTAGATCAACTGGAAAGTTTTGTCTGATATTTCCCTTTCCAGATTAAATACGCATGCACACAAAAAAAATTTTTTTAACATATATATTTTCACGTACGATGAACTCGAAAATTACCAGCAATTGACATTTTTTCGTATATGTGTATGTGTTACTGTGAATGGCCGAAATTGGTGGTTGTTTGCTTACACCGGTGAATTATGTCAATCACATAGTTGCTTTGGTAAACGTCCGAAATATATACTAGGACTAGTTAAATGCCATTGCCTGGTATACATTTGACGGTATACACTACACTGGTGTTTTTAAAGGTTCAGTGTCACTGTCCGGTATACATTTGCCGGCACTCCGAACACTGATGTTTTTCCTAATCTATCCTCTGCAGATATTAAAATATCGAATGAATATAACAATATTAACGAATAAATGATTATCAAATCGAATATAAAAAGTATTTAGGACATCCACCAAAGCGACTATGTGATGGTTGATATTCGTCAATGAAAGTCGACATTCTCTTGATTTCGCTCATTTGTGGTAACATATATACTATATATATATATATATGCAAACATGGATGGGGAAATGAATTTAATGAATTAATGCTATTTGAAATGAAGCAATATGTTTGGGACGGATGGTGTATAATATAATTCGTTTACTAAATACAAATACAAAAATGTTTGATTTCAGAGTAGTGAATTTTGATCTTCTATTTCAGTGAAAAGAGGTCAAAGTATGCTTGTAAAGTGGATAAAAAATACTTACACCACTTTTCAGTATTGCTCCAACAAACAAGGGTGCAAGAAATCCTGGTAGTGTTGCGATTCCATTTGTTATGCCAATAAGAGTTCCTGGAATATAACATTTATCATTTAAAATGATGAAAATTATTGTAAAGAACATTTTAAAAGTAAAGATATACTAAACCTTATTTCAGGTGATGGTAAGTATAATTACCACCACTTTTGTAAGACCAAACTATTTATCTATTTAAATTTTGGATTTAATATCAGAGATGCCAACTTGCTCCGGACAGCAAATATATATTTTAAAGTGGTAGTTTATCAATTGTGATTCTTTGTTTAATAAATTCAATTTAGTAAATTTTTACCCACCACTATTTCTAAATAATTCGTAGGCTTATATAATTCACCACTTTATGATACTTATGTCATGCTATACCCTTTAAAAAGCAAGCAAAAAAAGTTAAATATTCGCAAAATTTAATTTGTAGTTATTTACCGCACTTTTAATTCATTTGAACTGACCGGAGCAGTTGGCATCTCTTTTAATATATTCATTCTTGCCAACTTGTACGGACGTTGAAATAAAATTTGCAAAGTGGTAGTAATCCAACAATTAAGTTATGAAGAATTATCTAAAAACAAAACTTTTAAGTCATCTATACCAGAGATGCTAACTGGCACCCAGGCCTGAAGGCGAGACGAAAAGGAGAAGAAACTGGTAGTATAAAGGTACTTCAATAATAGATAAATTTTGGGAGGAGTAAATCGATTCTTAACATTTCAATCCTATTAACTTTGACATAGAGAAGAAGCAATTCAATATATAAAATATATCCGTTAATAAAATGGTAGTTATGATTGTTTTATTATTACCGGTTAAAAAGCTAAAAATGTAATTTATTTGTTACCAGTTTTTACTCTTTTCCGTCTTCACATGGAATTACAGTAATGCTCGCACCGTATTCGAAAAAGTATTTTAATATACTACTTTGTAGTTAACTGATTTAGAAGCTAGAATTTTCAGCATATATGCTTTCCATGGAAAACAATTTTTGTGGTAGTTACACAGAAATTAAATTATCTACATTTGTTTAATTTTCTTTACCACTCTTTAAAAGNTCTTTTCAGACGGTAGCAAAATTAATGTCTTAATATTTAAAAAAAATTAATTTTAGCGTAACTTGTCAACTATTACTTATAAAAGTGTAGGCCATATGACTAGATTCTTAAGTTCTGATAAAAGTTTTATGAGAGATCCATTTGCTTTAAAAATTTCTACTTTGGTTCGCTACCACTAGAAAGAATTATTTTCAAAATCTTCATATGTTGGAGGGTATGCTTATGTCATACTATACCCTTTAAAAAGCAAGCAAAAAAAGTTAAATATTCGCAAAATTTACTTTGTAGTTATTTACCGCACTTTTAATTAATTTGAACTGACCGGAGCAGTTGGCATCTCTGTTAATATATTCATTCTTGCCAGCTTGTACGGACGTTGAAATAAAATTTGCAAGGTGGTAGTAATCCAACAATTAAGTTATGAAGAAGAATTATCTAAAAACAAAACTTTTAAGTCATCTATACCAGAGATGCTAACTGGCACCCATACCTGAAGGCGAGGCGGAAAGGAGAAGAAACTGGTAGTATAAAGGTACTTCAATAATAGATAAATTTCGGGAGGAGTAAATCGATTCTAAACATTTCACTCCTATTAACTTTGACATGGAGAAGAAGCAATTCAATATATAAAATATATCCGCTATAAAAATGGTAGTTATGATTGTTTTATTATTACCGGAAAAAAAGCTGAAAATGTAATTTATTTGTTACCAGTTTTTACTCTTTTCCGTCTTGACATGGAATTACCAGTGATGCCAACTTGCTCCTCTTTGTAAAATAGTATTTTCTAGTGGTAGCGAAATTTCAGTTGCTTTTAATTTAGTATTTTTCATTTTAAGTAATTTTTTTCACCACTAAGTATCAAAAATTATAAGTATGATATAAAATGCAACGTTAAAGCATCGATCTACTGGTTACTCTATTAAAAAGTAGGGGTAACTATTCTTCTTTAATGAATTTTAGTATATAATTTGCTAACACTTTATTAAAACTATTCCAGAAAGCGGAGCAGTTGGCATCCCTGAATTACAGTAATGCTCGCACCGTATTCGAAAAAGTATTTTAATATACTACTTTGTAGTTAAATGATTTAGAAGGTAGAATTTTTTGGCATATATGCTTTCCTTGGAAAACAATTTTTCGTGGTAGTTACACAGAAATTAAATTATCTACATTTGTTTAATTTTCTTTACCACTTGTTAAAAGACCAGCGGGAACCCTATCGTATTTTAAAATATCGTTTGCACTAATTAAGCGGTTAACACCCAGCGTCATATATTTAGGACAGTTCCTTTTTTCAAAGACATTCATTGTGGTGGGAAACTTTTTTCTGTATCTTCATTTATCTGGGTGAATTAAAGGATTCTCAGATACCACAATGATTTAGTTATTTCTGACTAGATCTAGAATTCTAAGGAACAAAAACTTTTGGATCTATTAAAGACTTTTTGAATGCTCTCACAGTAGAAAAACCAATTAATTTCAATAATATGTTATACCACTTTCTCACTTTTTGTATCATTTCAATTTATACATTCGGGACAAAACGGGTTGATTTACATACTTGAGCTAACCCCCTTGAAACATTATGATTGAGTAACAGAACGTAAAGATACGATCGAAAGATATTCAGGATAATCCGTTTTTCTTCTTTGGGGCACTGTACTATCACTTTTCTTCATTGGATTGTTTTTCATATTAATGCAAATTTTATAAATGGGTAAATGATATTCAAAGTGGGATTAAAAATAAACACAAGAACGATATCCTGTCATGGATGACATTAAAGTTTTTAAAAAATGGAATAATTTTTTTTTAAATAAAATTTCTAATTCCCAACGAGAATCAAATATTCTGTCTGAGCAAGCTATTTCTTCGTCGCCAGGATTTTTCATTGCAAGCAAGGTACGACTCTAAATTTTTCTACATAAAAAATAAGGTTTGCATTATAAAAGATTTTAAAAACATTACTCATGTAGTTTTGGCATAAAATATTACTGCCAAACACAGTCAGATTGTTTTTCTACTGACAATTTCGACTAAGTATTTAAGTGATTTCAACAGCAGCATAGGATCTCAATTTAGCTATTTACTATTTTTAATTTAAAAAAACTTGGGTACTATTTCTTGAAATTATATTTTGATGTATAGTTGGAAGAACTGCCAACAACTACGTTTTTGCAAGTGGTAAACAATTAAAAACTAAAGCTTTCTGAATTTTTTTACTGTAATTTTGCCAGTATTTAAAAGCTTCATCATATAAAAGAGATATAATTAAGTGTAGTTTCATATAGACTCTTTAATCATTTGCATGTTGTGATGAGGAAAATAACTTTAAATCAAAAACACAAGATTAGATAACATTGGATGAAGTTCTAATATTCGTAGGAAGTTGGCAGCCCTGTATTTCTATTCCTTTTATATAAGCAGGTCTCTTTAGTAAGTTAATATAAGATGAACGAGCTAAAAGACTTCGATTACTATTAAATAGTTGCAGTATATATTGTTGTTATTGTCGTAGATCATTAAGGCAAAAAAAAAGAGTGCAATCTCTCTTGTTCTCCAGTGATGCAACGTATCGCCAAGAATTCAACTTCTGCCACACCCATACGTCACACCCGTTAATAGGGTGGACCCATTCATATTTCCACAGGTTGTAATTTTGACCTGAACCAGATAGCGATCAATCTCCAATTCAGTACCCTCAAAGGTTTAATTTTTTATGGAAACATGGAGGACTACGTGGGGCTACTTTGTGACTATTTACTACAGGGGGAGTCTTTAACCGTCTGCATTCGAACTCTCTGCCTCACGAGCGTGAGTTCAGCGTCCTACCAACCAGGCTATCTCGGCCCCAACTATTCATGTTAGTACGTTAATATAAGATTAATCTAGTTGAATGACTTCTATTATTACGAGATTGCTTCGGTATATAAAACAGTAATGGGATTTGATCAGTGGTTTGTATCTATTTATTGCTGATTGTATAAATGCAAGAAAAGAATCCATGCACGTTGAAAAATAATATTGATTGTTAATAATATGTTTTTTTAAAAGTAATACGTTAAAACAGAAGATCTGAATCATGTGTGCGCTGCTATATAATTATACACGCATATGCTAAATTTACAGTATATACACGAAAAGCACTGAAATATTTCATTTCTTAAAATTAAAAGCAAAGCTAAATATTCTCAATACATTGTGGAATGACAAAATAATTGAGGTCGCCTTATGATAACAAGCATATCTTCTAATTTTTGAATAATTTTATTAAATGTGCATGAGTTCCTGAAACACCAGCATAGAAATCACAAAAAAAACTCACCTCCGTAATTAGGACTCATGTCGACATGGTTCACCATTATACTTGAAAACATTAATCCGTTGAGACCAAATAACAAAGAGAGTAGAGTGATGATGAGGATGGACCTGCAGCCAGCAAAATAAATGGCTACTGAGCATAAAGCAGGGCCAAAAAATGCTGTAGAAAGATTTTGAACAGTTCAGCTGTAGATATCAGTTAAAAACCAATCGAAATAATAAATACGTTGCTTCAAAAAGTGCTAGTTAAAAAACAAACATTTAACATATTTCGTTAAAATGCATGTGTATAAACTGTGAAGCAAAAGGAATTATTATAATAAAATACAAAAATAATAAATTAAAAAATAAATAAATAATAATTGAATGTAACCCATACCAATGTTTTCAAATAATAAATATTAAAAATATCACTTTTTTATTAGTCTTTAGTTGCGTCGGTCTGGGAAATATCCCTGAGGATGATCCGCAGACATGCCATCAGAAATTTGATCCTCTGCAAAGGGTATGGCACCCCCACTTCGGTAGCCCAACGATTTGCGCGAGAAGTCGAGCAATTTACGGTAGAACAGTTTAACGAGGACCAATACCGTACACCCTCTGTCTCCACGCAGACTGATCCAAATGGTCACCCATCCGCACACTGACAGCAGTCAGTGATGCTTGACTTCGGTGTTCTACTGGCAACCGCGTCCTTACGATCAGTCCTTTGATGGACTTACAATTGGTAAGTAAATTTATTTTTAAATTATTTTTAAATGTTCTTAATAAACTTGAAAATAAAGTCCAGAAAGGAAAAAAAGCACTCTTTTTTTAATAGCTTAAAAACTTAAACTTCCCCATACTGCATCATTTTAGTTATTCTTTCAACTTCCAGTCTTTTTTCGAACTTGTGATTCCTGATTCGCCGTTTTTCATTCTCGAACCCTGTTCCTTGATATCCTCGTCTGTCAAAAACTAAACGTAAAATCGTAAATAAATCGATTTACGATTACGATCGATCGATTACGATTACGATTTCATAAATCGTAAAATCGTCACACTAACCATCAAAAAAACTACATTGATTAAAATTGGGTGCGACAAAAACTTAAGTGGACAAAATTTCAAATTTACGTTTTTTTAAAAATTATTTTTTAATTTTACTTATATGCTGCCATGGACTGCACACTGAGTGCTTGCATGCCGCATGTGATCTGTGGTTCTCAGGTTGTGCACCCTTACCGTACGCTGATGCTTTTTAAGGTTAAGTGTCATCTGGTGTACCGAGTACTGACGTTTCTTAACGTTAAGTGCCATTTTGTTTATACTTTACCAAACTAAGCTATAGTAACTTCCCCTATTGATCCATAAAATAACAATACGTATAGATCGCATATTGGGACTATACCGCAAATGTAGTTACTCAAAGTGATCACGTAAAAAAATATCAAGTAAATATTTCATAAAACAAATCTGTACAGTTTGCAGAAGTTAGACGTAAGAAGTTGAAACACGTGATTTTTACATTCTAACACATTATTCTAACATTTTTGCTACGAATGGAGGATATTTGTGGATAGCAGATTAAGAAAGCAATTATTAATACGGTTATCTATAAGAAGCGAGATTATTAATTCTCCACAAAAAGGGGAAAAAATTGCATTCTTACCTATACTGTTCATTATTTTCCTAATCGTGGTGATATGGAGATAATCCCCAGCTCTGAGAAAATCAGCCACTACGCTTGCAGGAAGTGCGAAAAGTGCCATCATCAAGTAAGGTATACCAGATACCAAACCATTCTAAATAAATTAATAAAAACTTGTTTTCCAGATGTTTATGTAATAATAATTCTAAACAATAATTATCACTTTCCAAAATCAAGTCGCTAATTCTCTTAGTTTCTTTAAGAAAAGAAAAAATTGAGTTTTGTGAGCTTCTTAAAAGGAAAATGTAAAGTTTTTTTGTATCAGTTTAAACAGCTCTCTAAACCCAGACATTAATATTTAGAAGAAGGTAAAACCCTTAATTTGAATACTCAAACTGCACGTCTATGAAAATTAACGGAGCCTGAAAAGTGTGTTTGAAAAATTGACTGAAATTAATCTGCCTATATAAGAAAATGAACTTTTTGTTTGATTCCGTTTTTTAAGTTGATATTGTTGAACTATTTCTCAAATTTTTCTACCCTCTTCTTTCAGGTAAAAAATCATCATTCAGATATATGTTTATTGAATATGAAAGTGATCAATACGAACTGGTAGGGAAACTTGGCCTTTAACAACGTTATTGATAACTGTTAACATATGAAAACATTAAAAGTATTCAAAATTGTTAAATCAACATTTTTATATTTAGATCTAACTCGAAAAAGGATCACAGCCAAAAAAGGGCTTACTATCTTGGTAAGCTAAGTCTATGCTGTAATAAATTGAAAGGAAAAAACGAATTCCGTGTCATTCTCGAATAAAAAAGAATTAATACCCAAATTCAAAGGAAGTATAATGTTTGTATCCTATTATCCCTCTTTTGAATCAATAAAGTTAAAAAAAACTCAATATAGTTTCATACGTTAATATTACAAGTAAATTTAAAAGTAAAATTACATTGAAAATACAAACATGTCCCTTCAGATAATGAATTTTTATAAGTTGCGTATAACCTGGACGGAATAATCTGGTTGGCAGGATACTGGACTCACGCTCGTAAAGACGGGAGTTCGAATCCAGCCGGTCAGTAACTCCCCGTGTAGTAAATGCTGACTGGTGCACGTTAAATCTGTCAGGCCACATACTCCTCCATGCTCCCATAGTAAATTTTTCCATAGGAAATACTAAATTGGAGAATGGTATTTCTGTTGTTCTGGTTAAAACATCTGCGGATGAATGAATGGGTCCACCCAATAAACGAGTTCAGTTTATGGGTGAGGAGGTAGTCAAATCTTTGGCCCTAGATGGCGCCATCGGAACACAAAAAAAATCTCGTCCTTTCTGCTTTTATGGCCGACGACAACAACAACTTCAACATAAGTTGCCGTAAAGCAAGAGCAATAAAGCTTCAGTGGACGCATTCTGTAAATTATTGCTTGTTACTTTTACAAGGCCATGTCTGCCAATTACTACGCTTTTGCAAATTATTTTATAGAGTGGCTGACCTTTAAAGGTTTGAGAATTTATGGTAATTTTAGCAACCATTTTAAAGACTTTATTAAGAAAAAGATTGAATGAAATGGCGAACATTGACCACATGAACATTTTTATCAAGCAAGGCTGCCAACGTTCTGCACTTTTTGTAAAAGATTATTTCCGTGGTAGCTAAGTTAATATTTTAATGTGTTATTTTTTTGTTTTAATGTAATGTTTTAATGTGTTATTTTCCTCACCACAACATATATATGATTTAAATGTTCTTATGGAAATCCACTTTGTACCAGCATTAACCTAAAACATACATCGCAACCTCAACATAGATTTTTTAGATCATCATATTGCGAGGCTAAATTTCAGATTTTTTAAAAAGATCATAAATCGTGACACCGCAGGATTCAATGAAATTTTTACTTTTGAAAACTTAAAAGAAAGCATAAACCTCAGGCCGATGGCAGCTTATTTTTGTAGTGACGTAATTTTATCTAAAATACAAAATATTTAATTTCCTTTTACTCCAATAGCATTCCAATTACCAGAAAGAACCACCTTAAAGATCACAATTCAAAACGAATGAGAAAAAGGCCGCTAACGGCCCCAGATGCCCAGATAAATTTTGATGATGATGATGATGACCAGCTTTAACCTCCACCACTAAGCCAGCTATCCAACCAAGTCCTTACTTTATAAATTTTTTATTGTCATTATTTCAGGCGCATACGGACCCAACTTTTAACATACGAAGAAATGAGATGCCCACTGCCTTGCCTTGGACAGGTACTTCGTACACCGTTATGTCTAGTCTAGTCTAGTACCAGCCTTTACGTAGAACCTCAATGATCCACGTGAATACTCCTTTACTTCATTTGCATTCCACAACCTCATCGAAGCANTTCAGTTCGATTGAGATTTCTGGCAAGGATTCGAGGGCCCCCTGAGCTTGAGGGCCCCGGGGCACTGCCCCGCCTAGCCCCTTGGTAGCTACGCCACTGTGATCCACATGAATACTCCTTTACTTCATTTACATTCCACAACCTCATCGAAGCATCATACAGATCGAACTAAAGATGAATGGGAAAAGGGCCGCAAGCTGCCCCAGGTGCCCAGATTTTTTATACAATTTAAGCTTTCCAAGCTTTTACGGGATAAGGCTTTTAAGATTTTGGCCCAATTATTAAAAATTCTAAAATCTTTGGTTTTAAAGTCTACCACCCTATAAAATATTTTACATATACGAATAAAAGTAATGCATTAAAACACGAATAAAAGTAATGCATTAAAACATTAACTTAGCAAACACTAAATTAAATTTTTACAAAAAGCTTTGAAAGTTGGCAGCTATCTAGGGCTACCAACATACTAGTGGTAACGAACGTTAATTTATTTTCAGTTTAGTATTTTTAGTAGTCGTAATTATTGCTATTTTACAAGCCTTACTATTTAAGTCTCTATATATTTATTAAAACTTTTGCAGAAGGAGGCAGTCCTGTATGTTAGATTTGAAATCAAGGATGCTATATATAATATTTATAGTTTTACTTTTGTTACCCACCAGAGTATCCATAGTAAATATATTATCAAACATGAAGTAAGATATTTTTTTAAATGTAGACAGCTATAAAATTCTTACTAAATCTATAGACACAAAAGAAGAAACTAAAAGTAAGTAGATTGCATAGATATAAATGTATTTAAAACTTACGTCTTTTAAATCAAAGTGTAACACATTACCCAGGTATGTCGGCATCATTGTGAGTAAAGTGTAAAAAACCCAATTCTGTCCGCATCATAACTGTTCACTCTTTTCACCACTCAAGAAAATTTCGTTTTAACACTAGGTTTAAGGACGTTTCTTATATACCTATCTCTACGAACACGCGTCAGTTTGAAGCATGAACGAATACATATAACTGCACTTACAGAGATGCCAACTTGATCCAGACAGCAAATATATATTTTAAAGTGGTAGTTTATCAATTGTGATTTTTGGTTTAATAAATTCAATTGAGTAGAGTTTTATCCACCACTTTTAAAAAATAGGTCGTAGGCTCATATCATTCCCTTCTTAATATTTGCAAAATTTAGATGTCTTTTTTGATTACACGATGTCTGCCGACTAGATCATTTATTAAGATCTGGAGATGATGGCTGTCAACTGAGTTGCGGTGCTGTTAAGTTAAGTTAATGATTTTTCTCGCCCATTTGATGTTCCTGACGAGGAAAAAATTTTGATGTTTAGAGTTATTGATGTTTAATCCTTTTGTTGAGTAGTTCTTAATAATTCTCTCGAAATTATGCCTGGACGTGGCAAAGTTTGAAGCTCGTAGTTTAAAGTAAAGTACAAAAACTAAGTTTAAGTTTATTCAATTCAATTTTTAAAGTACTGCAAAATGAGTCTTCGACGTTGCGGACGTGGTGGAAAGACAAGCACGCCTACCGGGCGTCAAAACCTCAGTGACTCTACGACGGATGAGGAATCCACAGAATTCGACAACAAAATCAAATCACGCAATATGGCTACATATCAAAATCATCCACGTGGCGGAAAATGGCAAACCGAAAAGACTTCACGAGAACCAACGGTAAATGTGGAAAGTATGAGTCCAGGTAAACGAAAGTTATATGAAGAATGGATGGAAATGATAAGGATGACCAACGAAGAAATTGAAACAACAGCGAAAGTGCACCAGGATTGCTCGCAACTCAAAACTCAACTTATGGAAACTCAAGATGCAGGCCAAATTTTAGAACAGAAAAGCGAAATGACAACCGATACAGAAATACGGCTGAAACTAATGTAGAGCCCCCTACAAAAAAGCGAAAAAGGAAGAAGAAAAAGCAAAACAAAGCCAAAAATAATGAGGATGCACAAATCATGATTACAGAAAGCCTCTTCTTTAGCAATAGATGCCGCCACCTCCTTGCCACTACCTGATGCAATAGTCAATTCCTACATAGCTCCACCCATAGAGGATGCGATTGAAGCCGCAGTTCTGCCCACATCTTCAAAAACCGTTCAACCAGTCAAGCACATAAAAGTTCTGGTACGTGGACTTCCAGAGGGTTTCCCTACAGATTATATCTACCCTGAATTGGACAAGAAAAGCATTAAATCACAGAAAGTAATTCAGTTCAAGAGAAAAGTGGGCGAGGCCTATCGGCTCCTCCCACTTTTTCTCATAATACTAATAGAATCTGAAAATAACCGACAAATCTACTCAATTAACAGCATATGCGATGTCCCGGTGAAAATAGAAAGGTTCCGCGGAGGGAACAGTCCAACTCAATGTTTCAAATGCCAAAACTTTGGTCACACTCAAAGAAATTGCTGTTCTCCTCCCAGATGTGTTAAATGTGCCGCAGGTCATCGATCCTATTTGTGCCATAAGGACATCAATATACCTCGAAAATGCTGTAACTGTGGGGAAGCACACACTGCTAACTACACGGGATGCAGCTTCCGTCCCCCCAGGAGGGGCCATCGTGTCACTCCAGCTATAGTTCCCACTTCAAAAGCAGGCAAAGCTCATAGACTGGTCTCAATTTTAAAAGAACTACAAGAACTATTAAAAGACAGAGAAGTTTTCCAACTACTGCAAACAATCGTGTCCACTTCTGAACAATGTCTCCCTCTGACTTGTTTTCACTCAACATAGAACTCTATTCTACTGAACTTATGAACTGGTAAATTCAACACTAAATTTAATACTGCTTATTGCCACGCTAGATGGCGCCACTAAGGAAATGCAAAACTTCATGACTTTGTTTCATTTCACATTTGTCTTACAAATCACGTAATTCTAACTCAATTCAATGCTAAAATGTCAATTGTACTTGTATATATCTTGATTCTATTCATATCTATATCACAACTTATGACTGCATCAAATTTAAACTCCATTCAATGCTAAAATTTCAATTGTACTTGTTTATATTTTAAATTAATTCACTTTTAAAACACAACTTATGATTGCATCAAATTTAATCCCATTCAATACTTCAATATCAATTGTGCTTTTTATATTCATGAAAATTTCTGATTATTTTATAAATCATGACTCATATTAAATATCAATTCATGTTTAGTTTATCAAGCAGGCACCCAATTTTGGATTAATAAAGTAAAGTAAGTATTTGCAAAATTTACTTAGTTATTTAACGTTTTTTGAATTTTTTTGGCGTCTCCGGAGCAGTTGGCATATCTGCACTCAGAAAGCAATGTAATTATTTACTATAAGAAAAAAGAAATGAAAACATGAGATATATATTTATGGAATATTCTAGTATTTTATTTTTCAATACTCGAACTAAGCAACCGAAACCTTCAAAATCTGACATCAATTGACATTCTGCGTTTGTTCGTCCTATTATTGCTTATCTGCAACAGTTGTTTATCGCTTGTTTCATTTGAGATAACGATATCGGATAACGGATCGAAATAATGTCTGCACATTCCTATTTATTATTGATGTGATGTTTGCATGTTTACTCAAAATTGTGTCTAAATTACGATCGTATCAAACTGACTCCTATCCGTAGAGATAGGTATACCACAATGAAAATTTCAATATTTCAACGCTTTTGAAAAAAATAGTCTTCAATATACCTTGATCAATGGATAAAAGTCATTACAAGAGATAAAATAAAAATTCAAACGAGTTTTGTATTTTTCCTTATAAAATTCGAAAGACGGCAAAATCACGCGTCCTGTTAAACTACTGTTAATATAGTATCAAACTTAGTGTTTTAACGCACAAGTCTCAGTTTCGCTAATGAAAAAACCTCAATATATACTACAAATATTAATAAGATATTTCATTACTTGGCAATGCTTTTAAGTTTTGACTAAATATACGCGTTTTTTAAGTTTTGACTAAATATTCTCAAGTTTTTAGTTGATATTTTTCCCATCATAACATTTTTTTTTTTTGAGAAATCGAACAAGCTTGCAGTTATGGGAAGGCATTTCATTTCAATACTTTTCGGAGAATAATTCGGGAATAGGAATTAACCCTTTACCTCAAAATTTATTGAACATATTTTCCCCCAGTATTTTGTATTAATTTAAGTTAAAATTCGTAAAAAAAATATTACATTTAGTATTTTAATAATTTATGATTATGAAATACCAGCCTGAAACACAAGCGTTTTTTTATTGAGCTAAACGCAAAATCTTCTTCTAAATAAATCAATTACAAACGATATTTTTTTCAAATTTGCACAGAGTTACAATTGGATCTAATTTAATTATAACTAATTCTGTTATTACCCATTTGCAAAATGGGTCTTATTTTGGATCTGATGGCTTCCACACTTTTCAACTTTGCTCAACAGTAATAGTAAACAGTGCGCATACGTTGCTATGGCGACCGTCTGTTTTTCTTTTCATTTTCACTAGCAGGCATTTTTAACGTATTTTATAATAATAATTTTTATAATAACGCTTTTTATAATAATTTTAAAGTATTTTTATATTCCTTTTATTATTAACGTAAAATTACTGGCTTGATTTGAATATAAATATGAATGCTGAAGAAGAAGGAAGAGTATTTTGTGACGTCTCGAAACACGGGTATTGGCAGGATATGAAAACCAATCCGACGACAAACATCAATTGAGACAGTTTTTGCAACCCANTTTATAAAAATTTTAAAGTATTTTTATATTCCTTTTATTATTAACGTAAAATTACTGGCTTGATTTTAATATAAATATGAATGCTGAAGACGGAAGAGTACTTTGTGATGTCTTGAAACACGTACATAGACAGGATTTGAAAACCAATCCGACGACAAACATCAATTGAGACAGATTTTGCAACCCATGATTTGAAAGGCTGTGACTTTAACGGAGTCAATCCAGAAAAAAAAAAGCATTTGACCAATAGGTAACCAGTGACCGTAAAAAGGTGATGACAACTTTTATTAGTTTTTTGTATCTTTGTTCTCTCTTCACTTTACTTCATTTAATATTTTTTATTTATTTATTATTATTTCTAAAAGAAACTATTATTCTTTATTTAAGAGTTTTCAAATATTGATAATATTAGAAAATAAATTTAAAAAAAAGGAAATTAGTTTCTTTATTTCTTTTTTTAAGCATATTTTAGTAGAAATATAATCCCTATATTCCATCACATTTTTGTTACTATTTTCAGACCTGCCAACTTTTAATCCCTTCCGTTATCATTTTTCACAGTGGTATTAAAATGGAATTAAAACTTCAATTTTAATCAAACAAATGCGTTGTATTTGAAAAAATTAAGTTGACAACCATGATAGTAACGCATATTAATATATAAGCTTAATTTTTGAAAGAATAGTGGTGATCAGAATCATTTAAAAATTAAATTTATAAAAGAAAAAATAGTATATATTTACTACCACTTTAAATATGAAAATAAAATCTCCCGCAAAATGCGGGAGAGTTGGCAGGTATGTATTTTACTGTTTTTTATAGCTAAAAAAATACTAAAATTATATTTTTAATTGCATTCAGAGGGTCAAAAAATATATAAAAGAGAAATTGGAGTATCACCTGCTACAAAGAGTTAAATATGTAATTTATGAGCACATTGCTGAATAAAGTTCTACAAAATTATATAAAAAAATAACCACCATATTAAAATCCTATAACTCTTAAAATAATTGCAGTGGAATTTCGATCCCTTACAAAGATGCCAACTTTTTCCGGACAGCAAATATATATTTTAAAAGTGTAGTTTATCAATTCTGATTCCTGGTTTAATATATTCAATTTAGTAGACTTATATCCACCACTATTCCGAAATATTTCGTTGGCTTATATAATTCACTACTTTATAAAAGATAAAATATGCTACACCTATTAAAACACAAACAAAAATAGTCAAATATTTGCAAAATTTACGTTGTAGTTATTGTTATTTACCGCTTTTTAATTATTTTGGCGTGTTCGGAGCAGTTGGCATCTCTGGCTATGCTTCGATGATTGCTCAATCGTTAAAATGAAAATGTTGGAAATTATTAAATTTTATTTGCTAACTAATCAAGAAAAAGAAGGGAAAAAATTTAAAAAATCATCTTTATTAAAAAGCGTACTACCAGCTTTTAATTTGGCTGTTGTTAGAATGGTATTTAAATAAATCGGATTTTAAGCAATTTAATATAATTGCATACCTGCCAACATTCATTCTTTTCGAGAATGGATTTTCCAAGTGGTAGTAAAACAATTACCGAAAAACAATTTTACTCAAAGAGATATTTATATTTTAATCAGTTTAAAATTCGCTATCGTAAAGTCTAATATGCTTTATATTCAAATTTAATCCCATTCAATACTTCAATATCAATTGTGCTTTTTATATTCATGAAAATTTCTGATTATTTTATAAATCATGACTCATATTAAANAACTTTTTGAATTATAATAATAATTATAAATGAGTTTGACCACCACTACTTATAAATAATTACAATAAATATATAAAAGCATAATAATCCATGCACAAGCGAATTTCAACGGGATCAAAATATAAATATCTTTTTGAGTCAGATTGTTTTACAACCACTCTGAAAATCCATTCTCCGATAGAGTGAAAGTTGGCAGGTATGAATTGCATACCTGCCAACATTCATTCTTTTCGAGAATGGATTTTCCAAGTGGTAGTAAAACAATTACCGAAAAACAATTTTACTCAAAAAGATATTTATATTTTAATCAGTTTAATATTCGCTATCGTAAGGTCTAATATGCTTTATATATATTTGTTGTAATTATTTATATGTAGTGGTAGTCAAACTCATTTATAATTATTAATATAATTCAAAAATTTAGTGAAATAACCTGAATTTAGCTAGCACTTTAAATATGAAATAAAATCTTCCGGGAAAACCGGAAGAGTTGGCAGCTATGTAATTTTTAGAATCAAAAAATGAATATTCAAAGATTAAAATTCGTTAAGTATTTTAGTTTTAATTTCTGAAAGTAAGATATTGATATATTAATTTTGAATTAGCTTATAGAAAGGAATGGATTTAAAAATATTAATTTTTTTATAATTTACTTTCTTTTTCGCGTTGTCAATACCATCTTGAATATATATAAGTTCTTGTTTTGAAATACGGGGGTGATCTTCAGGCTTTTCATGAATTAATAGAGCCCATAGAATAAACCATACACTCCCTAGTAAACCTAAAAGTGAAAAATTGACAGGAATAAAGATAAAAGGGAAATAACAGAACAGGAACAAACATAAAGGGAAAAAATTTATGTTTAGATAAAATGAAAAGTAAAGATTAAACATGTATTGTAATAATAATACCATCCAAATTGAAAAAATTCCAATTTACGTTCAATACTTTCGAACATAATTCAAATTATTTTATATAGACATCCAAACTCAATAACTTTTCAATTGTTGTGAGGTTTTTGCCTGGATGTTTGAGTGTTGTGAATTATTTGACTTGGAAACTACATATATGTATGCGCATATACGAAATATTTCTAATCGTAATGCTCCAAAGCATAAATATTTGGCAACAATTCTTATTTTTCTAGAACTATTTTTAGAATCTAAGATAGGTTTCAGGAGACTCTTTTGCTTATTCTATTTGTAAACAATCTTTATTTTAATAGCAAATGCTTCGAACGATTTTGTGTTGACTTAAACAAGTTTTGCATAAAGCTTTTAGAAATGGAGCCTTTTAAAATTTGACCAATTTCAATGCAATTGTAGTAAAAAAGCATTCTAATACAAACTCAATCGTATTGATTGAATGATTCTAAAATGGCTTGCATTAAAACTGGAAAGCAATTATAAACTCCCTGTCTATATTTTGGACTGTTGAAACTTTGTTCTTCTTCTGTTTAATAATATACGGAAGTAGATAGAATTCTTTTAGTTGTTGTTTATTAGATGACGCTACATTTGCTACCACAGAGAAAAAAGTAAGGAAATTCCGTAGTTGTTGGAAAGTGTCTGCGTATATGTTAGTAATTAATACGTTGAGCACAGTGTCAGCCATCGGTGGCTAACGCTAAAATTACATTTAGGCAGCGTCAACCACCGGTGGCTGACACTGACCTTTCACATAGGCTGCAAAAAACAGCTGGCTTACAGCGTATAACATGATATAGAACTATAAAATTTACACTCTTTTATGGAATTGCAGAAAATTTATTCAAAATTTACTTAATTATTGTTATTCTTGGTTTAATAAATTCATTTTAGTAGATTTTTATCCACCACTATTTCTACATAATTCGTAGGCTAATATAATTCACCACTTCTGTCATACATGTCATGATAAATCTTCTAAAAAAATAGCAATATCCGTCTAATATTTGAAAAATTTAGTTCGTAGATATTTACTGTGGCCAGATGGGCAAGCCATGTAAAATTAGAGTGGCGTTCAACGTGTTAATATTACTTACCAGAAACATAAAATACAGACGGCCATCCACCCAAAAATGACCCTTCGCACAAATGTCCGGCGACTATGCTTGTCAAAAGATTGCCTATAATCACCCCCAAATTCATAACAGTAGATATTCTACTTCGTTCTATCTTCGGCACCCATTGGCCAATCATAACATTCACCGCTGGGAAGGACACGCCCTTTGAAAAATGAGAAGAAAAAAAGAATGTTTTATATATAATATTTGATAAAGTGCACACATTAACAGAATAATTATGATTTGATCCTCATTAGTGGCATGAAGCTCTCTCAACTATAGTCGGAGGTAACAAAATTGAGCAGGAAGTATCGGTGATTTGTGTACAATATCGTACCCTCCAAATGCTACTGAATCTCCCTAGTTTCAGAAAATAGTATTTTTAATTCTAGTGGAGAAATTGCGGGGTATTTTAAAAAATTTAAATTAAATAATTGCACCTACCCCAATGTATATATTAAAAAAAGAGCCATACTATCTTGAACTCTATTATGCGCCATGTTACTTTAACTGTTATCGTGTATGTTTTTCTTTCATTTTCAAGATGAATGGGAAAAGGGCCGCTAGGCCTAAGACAACGCCTAAGATGCCCAGTTCCTACGCAAATGAAGAAAAAGAAAGTTCTATGATATTACGATGATATTAGCTTCAATCAAAATTATACAGGAATTTAGCTAGTTCAATATAATTTTGTTTTTGATCATTACCACTTTAAAGATTATTTCTTAAGAATCGCAAATTTTGAAAAGTTTGAACCTTAATCTGCTAACGGCACTGCTTCAAATACGAAAATTTTTATACTCATCTTTAAAAAACAAGAACGAAAGTATTTTAACTACCAACACTAAGTTAAAATTAATAATATCAATAATATTTAAAATTCACGTTGCCGCACCAGTAGGAATTGCCAATAAGTTATAAATCTTAAAAAAATGTCGTATAGATGCGGCATGAATGAAATGAAAGCACAATTATTCACGTATCTAAACATTTGTTGATGTAAGCCTCTTGGTATTTAAGGTAAACCTGCAAAAATTTGCACATGTTGTCTGAAATTTAGTTTTTATTTTGTCTGACAGATTTGCTAATTTATTTTACCTATTTGGGGTTATCTCTACTAGTGGTAGATAATTTAATGTATGATTCTTTGTTTCCTAAATTAATTATCGACTCCTTTCAAATAGTGCCAACTTTTCTGTCACGTAAAATCTCTCTTTCATTGAAAATGATTCAAATGAATCTCCACTTAGTTCAGCACTTTCGTAATTAGGGTTTTAAAATGTTCACAAAATTATCCAAAAATTTTGAAAGCCTCAGTCCTTAATTTTTAACTACTTTATAAATTGCATGTATGAATATTTATAAATTATACAGCTAAGTTAACGCAGGATTCGAACCCGATTTCGTCACCCTACAAAGTGTTTGATGGGGAACAAAATTCGACCAAGTAAGTTTCAATATTAGTAAAATTTCTTTTGAGTGATTTATACCTGTGCACTGAATAAGTTGTATTTAAATCTAATTTCTTTTGAGTGATTAATAGCTGTGCACTGAATAAGTTGTAGTCAAAGAAAATCTCTCTCTCTCTCTCCCTCTCTCAAAAATGTATTAAAGAAAGTGTTCAGCTGCAAGTTTTCTGTATCTTGTCATCAATCATTTAATATAATTTTTGAAGTAATAAGGGTTCATACACTAACTAAATGTATATGCAAGCAACATTTTGAGTCAAACAAGCAAGTGCATATATAACTGAACTATGCATTCATAACTGAAATCTCTGGTAGAAAAATCACACCATTTTAATATATTGCAAGTAAGTGTGTACCCTGTAAAAGAGATAAAACTAGTTTTAAAACCTTTTCATTTTCCACCTGTTTTTGAAATGAATAAACCTCGGTGAATACGAATGTTTTTTTTCAATTATTTTCCAACTAAGGAAACAGCCAACTTTTAATCCCTTCCAATATGACTTTCCCCAGGGGTATTAAAATAGAATTTCAATTTTGAGCAAAATAATACGTAGTATTTGAAATAAAGATTAAGCTAACAACCATAGCACATAATTCTATATATACTTAATTTTTTTAAGAATAGTGGTGTTTAAAATTATTTTAAAATTAAGTTTATAAAAGAAAAAAAATAGTATATATTTGCTACCACTTTAAATATGAAAATAAAATTTTATGCCAATTGCATAAAAGTTAGCAGGCATGCTTACAGTAAGTTTACAGTACCACGTCTATTATATAGTAGTGCGATATAACTTTTAATAAGTCATGGTAGCCAAACTATTGCTCAAAAAAAAAAAAAGAAAGCTGAATACTACCATTAGGGTAACTTTACCGGGGACCAAACATCCCTGATACCATTTTCCACCTTGGATGTAAACATTTTTAATGCGCAGATATATGTACTACATTTGAAGAGTTAATGGAAAAAGGCTCGTAAACAAAATACATACATTTTTAATGACCTTAAATAGAAAAAAAATCGGTATTTTATACATATAACCGATAGTCTATTTCGCAAAATATCATTAAGCATTTTCCTTTATTCAGCTCTTTGAAGCATACAATCAGGGATGTTGTTGTTGTCAGCCATTAAAACAGAAGGGGTATGATTGTTCTTGTTTTCCAGTGGCGCCATCTATGCTCAAGAATTTGACTTCTGTCGTACCTATTAGTCAAAGGCTGTCCCTATTCATGCATAGATCTTAATTTTGACCTAAACCAGAGAACGATCCATATCCAATTCAGTACCCCAGAGGTTTTCATTTGTTATCAGAACATAGAGAACTTTGTAACCCGACAGATTTAACTTGCCCCAGTCATCTTTCGGCCATTTGGATTAGAGCTCCCGTTTTCACAAACATGAGTTCATCGCCCTGCCAACCAGGCTATCACGGCCTGCAGTCAGGGGTACTTCCAACAAATCTAACAAACTTAAAATTTGCATTGTAACTTACCGTAGCTAATCCCATAGCAACTCGAAGTGCAACCAACGACCATACATTCCATCTTGCTGCTATGGGAGTCAGAAATGAGAAGAGAGTGGTCATCAGAATCCCGATTCCATAAATCCATTTAGCACCGTATCTTTCGGCTAATAAACCACCAGGAATCTGCGTTACTATGTATCCATAGAAATACGATCCGACTATTTGTCCTTGAATGTTAGAATTCCAGGTAAATTCGCCTGTCTGAAATCGCAAAATATTGCTTTTAGCTAATGAAGTAATCCCTCTATTTTACATTTATGTTGGTTATGTTATGAACATTTATGTTTTTGCGATGTTTTGAGCGCAGAAAAAAATGTTTCTCTTGTGTTTTTTTGTTAAGACGTAAAAGCGTTTTTTTTTTGTAATCAACAGGGAAGTACTTGCAATGTTTAGTAACGTTTCTGCAACCACTGAAATATTTCCATGCTACGTTTGTGAGACATAATAGCTACATTCGGTACAGTAAGGGTATATTATAAATCCAATCAGTAATCCATTGTATATTTAACATTTTGGTTGCCTTTTTGAAACTAATTAAAGTAAAATGCCAATGTAAATAAATTAACTATTTCATTTAAAAGAATATATAATCTTTAATAACAGCATAGGTAAATTAGAGTATGAAAAAGACGCGCATTTCTGAAAATTTGCATTAGTATTTGCCAACGCGCTTTTCAAATAAAAAAAAATAACTAAATTCTCTATTAATTTATGTGTTTCCATAATTATAGCAGTTCTTTTTTGTTATTTTTTTTCCAAAGAAAGCCATAATTCGGTCTATTTCATTCAATTATATGCATATAAGCTGATAAAGAAATTGGTAACTAGATTAGATGCAGCTCCAGAACTGACTGTTTAACAGTTGAACATAAAACCTAATTATAGATTATTAATAATGACAAGAAAAAACATTCCATTCCTTTTATGTCTTAAAACACAGTGTTTTATTGCTTAATACTTTCCCAATTGTCTATATATTGTTTATTTTTAAGAAAAAACTAGGGTCCTATTGCTGAAAGAAATCTGAACCACTGATTTAGCCTAGTAAAATTAAATTATTTTAAATACATATAACAAATAAAAGCAAACCAAACAGTGTATACTGACTGCAATAGTATAAATCAGCTCAGATAATTCAAATATAAATTATATTTAAAACTTACTAAAAATTCATCTTCTTCTGTTGTTGTGTTTTTAGAAATTATAAGTTCCGGACACGTAATCGTTGTTTCATTAGTTCCATTGCCAGATCTAGGTACTCCAACCATGGCTACTAAGGCTACACTGAGATTCACTCGCATTGCAGAAATGGTAATGTAGCCAAAGAAGACAAGGATAGTCAATACAATGCGAGCTGGAATCACTGAAAACAACAAGGAAACAATTATTGCTAAGTAAATTCGAGACATAATACTGGAGAAATTCTTCTGATTCTGAAGAATTGCCAAGTCAACGTCAAAACGTACCTTATATTTTCATATATGACTCAGAAATCAAAATTTTCAGAAGGTAAGATGTATAGCTTTTTGTAAAATCGAGTTCCAACATTTTATGATTTTTTCCTTGCCAAGTGTTTTATTACCTTTTGGAATAGAATTTTTATTTTTATATAATTGTTATAAAAGAAGTTTAAACGTGAAAACGTGTAAATAAGCGATGGCGATACATTAAAAAAAACAAAGGCAATTCTTGTTTAAATGATTTAGTTTTACACAGTCAAAATAAAATATTAGAAGTAGTTGAAAAATGCAAAAAAATTAAACCAAATTAGTTCATCTAAGACTTTATTCAAAATTAAATGTCCTGATTTATTATTTTATTTTATAACCATCGTGGAACAGTTGACCCGATTTTGAGTTTATAATTGCCAATGTTTATCCCCTTTAACTTGTAATTTTGAACCCCATCCAATGACAAAGAAATTCCTGGATCAACTTTAGAAAGAAACTTGAATTCGCTGAGGAAAGTTTGATGGAACTAACCTCCAGTTGAGTTACATGGTGATGAAAACTACGAAAACCTCACGGTTAGTCAGATGGAAGGGGGACTGTAATTCATAATACGTCTACCACTGAGGCTTTACGTGACCAGTGAGAGCCGGGTGTGGAATTCATATCGACCACTCATCCCTGAAATTCAAACACGGTGCACCTCTTTGGAAGACGAGTGCTTTACCCCTTGAGCCACCACGACTTAGCTGGATTCATTAGTATATAGAAACTTTTTCCTGAGAATTTAAAATTGGTAAAAATGCTGTTTCATTATTTATCTATTTCTAATAAAGTGACTGATACACGTTAAATCTGTCCAGTCGCAAAAGTCTTCCATGTTCCCATAACAAATCAACACCTCTGGGGGTACTGGATTCGAGATCGATCGTTCTCTGATTCACGTCAAAATTATGATCTGTTGATGAATGGATGGATGTATGAATGAGTCCGCCCTATAAACAGGTGTAACGTATGGTGTGGCTGAAGTCGAACTCTTGGCCATAGATGGCGCCACTGGAAAAACAAGAACAATCGCACCCCCTCTGCCTAAACAGGCATACGTCAACAGCATCTATTTCTAATATGATTAACACTTAGTGTGTACTAAACACTTCTATCCTAACTCGATGTAAATTATCATTCTCTTAGCAACACATCTCTTGGAAGATTTAATATCGCAAAACTGGTGGAGCAATTTGAATGAGCATGCTCGAAGATTTTGGCAATAGTGTCTTTTTTACCCCCTCAAAATCAGTGTTGACCAAAATAAGCGCAGAAAGTTTGAAGCTTTTCTTTTCATTCTTTTTTTCTTCTTTTCATTTCTTTCTCATCATTCATGCCAGTTGTTTAGGTGGCACTATTTCTTATGAAACAGACAGAGTTCCGTTTTGTAAACTGACGCAGGGTCAAACTTCAAATGAATGTCAATAAACCAAATTTTTCAAACATTTCTATTATTCAAACTATGATACAAATATTTTTAAATTAATTAGTAGCATTTTATTCATTTATTTCGGCTATCATATTCGCTTGCCCTAAAAAACTTTATTTATAACTTTATTATATTATATATAGTCTAAATTCTGTCAAAAGTAGTTTGTTTATTTAGGGTTTCATTGTCTAGAAAAATTGAGCATTAAAAATGTACCACTTCAAGCATTAAAAATATAAAAGTAAAAAACAAAGAAGTTTAAACATTCAACTTAAAATTAAATTAAAAGAAATAAAAGAACATGAAATAAAAACTTACTTTTTGTGTGATTCTATCGTTGTCTAAAGCAAATGATTGAAAAATCTTTTATAGAAAATACCGGTATTAGAACAAAATCATTTTTATAATTTTTTCCTTTAGGAAAACAAATGTCATCAGAATCCTATGGAAAGTAAAAAAACAAGTGTAAACAAGGATGGATATATTAAAGCAAATAGTTGTGGGTAATATATAATTCTTGTTCTTCAAGTTCAATTTACTCCAATTTATCTTCCCGTTTGTTTATCTTCCACTCGAGATCGCCTTGAGATATACTCAATTATTCAATAAAAAACATTCTTCGGTTTTAAGTGCCTTTCTATGCATGTTTGTGTTAAATGCATTTTTTTTTAATTCATTCTACGATTTCTTTTTTCTATTTTTAGAAAATATTGTGCATTGGACTGTTTTAAAATTTGATATAAATACATGAGAGTTCTAGGTACGTTTTTGTTTGGTTTTTTTCGTAAAAATTTAACTGTAGGGGAACTGCAATCACAGGATGTAGAAAATCAACCATAAATCGACATTTCCATTTTAGTCGTCTTAATTTTTTTATGTAAAATCTTTCAAAAATTAAACATTAAAAAATTGAGCCATCCTTAATGCTCGAATTCATGGATCCGAAAGGTACTATATTGCCGTTATCATGTTTGCGTTGAATTTGTAATTAATATTTTTTGCTCTGAATTTTTTTTACAAACCAGCATAAAGTATTCAAGTTAACATCATTTTGTTTCTGTTGAACAATGAATCTATATTACTAGCAATAACTCGTGAGAAGTAGCGATAACTCGTTTTTATTCATCAGAAAAACATAATTTTTCTACAGTTCTCAAAAGTTCTGTGCAAGTGCTCTAAGGTAGCGGTTCCCAATATTTTTCGACTACGGAATCTTAAATAATCAACCTCCTTTCGGTGGAAACCTGACTTTATAAACAAGGTTTATTATGGTAATTTTAAACGTTATAAACTATTAAAAAAAAACGATTATTCAATTAGAAGTATTAAGATTTTTAATTATTTTATTATTAAGATTATTTTGTATAGTTTAAGATTATATTTTAAATTATACTAAAAATTTTTAAATTAAGTCTAAGATTATTATAAATTAAGAATGTCATCTTAATTTATGCTTTATGTCCGACCTTTCAGTTTACAGTTCCTGTGCTATAGCAAAACTAGTTAAGAATTTGTTTTTGATGAATAAACAAACGTATAAAACAAATGAAATAAGACAATTTATGGTTTACTTCGATAGGAAATCTTAAAAGAACTGCTTTAAGTGTCTAAAAAGGTTATTAAGCAAACATATTTTTTTATTAAAGATATTAGTAATTTTATTTTGATTTTGAATGTGTACTGGGAAATACGAATGCAATTTTTATAAATGCTTGTTCTAAACCGGGATAGCCCAATACTTGATCTCTCAGTACTTGATCCTGGATTTCCTTTGTCTTCTGGGTGGCGTTCAAAATACCAAGTCTACGGTGATGAACATTGTTAGCCGTTAATTCAAAATTGAGTCGGCTGTTCAACGAAGTTTTTAAAGTCTTTTCGGGGTTACAAAGTCCTCCAAGTTCCCGTAACAAATCAATACCTCTGGTGGTACTGAATTGGAGATAGACCGTGCACTGGTTCAGGTCAAAATTACGATCTGTGGATGAATAAATGACTGCATGAATGGGCCCGCCCTTCACACCGGTCTGTGAGTGTGTGTGGCTGAATTCGTCATATTGGCCATAGATGGCACCACTCAAAAACAAGAAACGTTCTCTCAACCTTAAATTCGCGTGCTGATATTGGCAAGTGGCATTAGAAACAACAACATCCGGCGTTTCATACTTTGCCGGTAACATATACAAATTTACTATCACACGGAACCCTTTCAACTCTTCCATGGAGACCAAGCGTTCCGCGGAACACCATTTCGGAACAGCTGATTTTAATTTTGTCCATCTGATAATTTTGACTAATAGCATAGCAATGCAATTTTTTTGTTATAGTTATATGAGGGCTTGATTGTACCTAATTCTGGTTTGGGTTTCTTAAATCTCGAAATTAGTCTTGCTAGCGCATTTTTTTTTAAAATGATATTTTTAGTTCGTTTATTTTTTGTCTAAATATATTAGTTTTCAGTGAACGTATACATTTATATGCATTGTACACAAATAGGATTGTCTGCTTTTTTGAATATAGAACTTTTGAAAAAAAAACTATATAACCTTAAAGTATCACATCATATATTGAAATGTGTAAACTGTGCCTCCACTTATGACTCCCTACGCAGCAAAGAAGTGGTGACATTGAGTATTCACTTGACTGAATTTTTAAAAAAAATCTCTGTTAGGAATATATCATTAAATTCTATAAAAAAAACTGTAGCATGCAAGGAGAAAAATATTTAAATCAGCTACGCGAATATATTTAAGATTCGTACAAAAATCTTTTTCAACAGAAAATAAAGACAAAAATGTACTCTAGTCTTCACTTCATGTATTAGAGACATCTTTAGTTATCAATAAAAAAATAAAAAATATAATAAAAACTTACTATTTTTTGGTGATCCTAATGTTGTATTAAGCAAATGAAAGAAATGAATTTTACAACATTTGTACAAAACCATTTTGATATTTCTAACTGATTTTCATTTGAAAAGAAATGCCATCGGCATCCCTTGCAAGGTTAAAAAAATTATATAAATAAAGATGAATTTATGAAAGATAACATTCGAATGTATTTTGACTGGCATTCATTTTCTGTAGTAATATAAATATCTTTCCAGTTGAGTTCGTTTTATGAATTCACTACATAATAATAATTCAATAAAAAAAAAGCATATTTCAGTTTCATTTTATCCCTTCACTCATTTGTATGAGATGCAGTTTTGTTAGTTGTATTGCTTTTTCGAATTCTTTTTCCTATTTTTAGAAAATAATATTCATTAGGAGTTACGAAATTCGGCTTTAACACATTACATTGAAGAGGAAAACTCTTTCTTCTGTTGGGAAATTTATAGTGCTAAGTTAGTCTCGGTTTTATTTATTTCTTCATTTTCATTTAATATGATTATAAGAACCTATTCAGTGTTGTCTTGACAATGTAAATTCGTTATATGTAAACATTTCTCATCTAGTGATGACATGAATATGCCACAGTCAATGCTGGAATTAGATGCCTCGTGTTGATGTTTTGGTAATTTCAATTTGGGCATAGTGACATTTTTTGACCAAAGCATGGTAGGCGAAAAAACTACCCAAGACTTTACAAATGAGTATTCATAAGTGTCACAATTCTGTTTATTTAATTATAAAGAGTTACGATCAAACACATCGTTAAATATAATTCTATTCAGCAATTTCACAGTTTTTATATTTCCTGATTTTAGGAAATTTGCAATTGACTCAATATCGATAAGAGATGTCATTGTATTACAATTAATTCAGTTTAAGAGAGATAGTTCAAATCGAATGCTGTACTTACCCGTCTGGTAAGTTAGGTAAACACCGTCTGTGCTTAGTTATCTTTCGGTTAATCAACACCGTCTGTGTTAATTATATTTTATCAAACGGCCAGAGCCCCCATGTGGAGGTTGACGACAAGTATAGTTGAAATAAGCAAGCTTCTGCAACAATTAAATTTAATGAAAAAAAAAACAACAATCGAAATAACACAACCGCTACGTCTGAGCGTTTAGCTGGAATCTGACATAAGTGGGGTGGAGCTGCTGTAATGGTGGTTGGATTCCCACACACACACGCATATATATATATATATATCTNTATATATATATATATATATATATATATACCCCATGACTTTAATTTCATTCCAAATTAAAATTTTTTTGTCTGCTAGTGTTATTTTTAAGTTTTTAGGGGAACCATACCACTAATTGCATGTTTTAAAGAATCACAACTATGTTTTAATGGTAAGTTTTGTTGGATGGGATAATCTCAGGAAAAGCAAGATAAAGAATTTCCGTCACATAATATTTATAACAAATTTAAAAAAAAATTAAAATTCATGTAAACAATATTGTTATTGAAATTGTACCAATAAAACAAATTTGAAATTACATGGTTTGCTTTTAATAGTAAAAATTCAAGATTTCGACTTAAAATTAAGCTTGTTGTTTGGTTGCTAAATTAAAATAAAATTAAATTAGTTGCGTTGTTGACTCCTGAAAAATTTACGAATTTTGTAAAAAAAATGGAAGCCAAATGTGCTGAAAAAATGTGCAAATAAATGAATTACTTTGCGAAAACAATGAATCAATCATTCTAGATTAGAAAATGAAAACCATAAAAAACATCGATCATGAAATTGTTGATTGGAATGTATTATTATAAAAATGAAAAGAAAATTAAAAAGATGAGATTAAAATAAAATTAAATTTGACTGAGAAACCGGGAAAAAAAACAGCCAATATGCATTTTAAAACGAAAGAATCGTTAAAAATTTAAATTAAACAAACGATTTAAATCGGAAGTTAAGATCGAAAGTGAATTCAAAACATATCAATATACTTTCATCGTCAATCATAAAACACTAACATATTCTAATTAAGTTTGAACCACAAATACAAATTTAATCTCAAATTTAAGAACTGGTCTGTAGCTATATAAAATAAGTAGATCTCACCTCTTTTATATACTTTTATACATCTTTCTTGCAACAAAAATCACTAATTTTTCTCACTAAACAAAAAACTTGAAAGTTGAGTCATCACAGTTTTCAAAATAACTACCTCTAAAGTCGAAACCTTTTTTCAAAATCAAATGCTTGGAATACACGATATTTTTCGAAAGAAAAAAGAAACACAGTACAGCGTTCATCAAATATAATTGCTTCTTTAAAATATTCACATTTGTGTGACGTACTCAATTATCTTTTTTTTTTTCTGTTTATTTATTCAACAAAAACAATCATTATTAAAGCTGCGGTGTAACATGACCAGTGGTTCACTTTTTTCGTCAAGAATAATGCTACAGCTAAATAATTAAACATCTTTCAAAATCAAATAACATTTCATGGAGGCAGATTTGTTGAAATAAAGCATTTGTGTAGCAAAAGCAACACCGCTTTAAACTCATTCAATACAAATCAAAGAATTTTCTTCTTGTAACACATCTTTTGCGAACGACTACCGGCTCAATTTTAAGTGAATTCATCAACTGTTTTATACTTTATCTACACCTACCGCCAGCAGTTGAATAAAATTTTATATAAAATATGTTGACGATTTCAGTAAAAGAAAAAGCTGTCATTTGAGCTTTTGTTTCGAAATCATTTGCTTTTTGCTATGGAATATCAACTAGATGTTCTTTTTTAATGAGTTTTTAAAAAAAATCTCTCCTGTTACATTTTGTTAAATTAAATTTAAAATTTTACACAATTTATCAAATATAAACTTCAAATTATTTAAGAGTCCTAAAAGTATCTGAACAAAATATATACTTCTACGGAAATTGCTTTATATTCTGAAGAAAATTTGTCGACATTTCTTCTAGATAAAAATCTTTGCAATGAAATATAATCAATTTTAGCCAAAATGTGTACGAGATAGAATAAATCATTTTAATCGTAATTAAAAAATCATAAAATAATTACGAATATGCTCAATTTATGAAAATGTTCGCTCAAAAACATTGTTAGTTTTCGACCACTGCAATAATATTTAGAATAATATCATCCTATCAAGACCTAAAGCTATAAAAGCTATGTAAAATTTGAAATTTTTAAAATGAATTTAAAGTAAAAGTTGAAGAATAGAGCTGCAGTTTTTTTTTCTTCACAAATAGGTTAATGGAAACAAAGTATTTTTCAATTTTATATTGAGTGGCGATCAGATTAGACACGTAAATGTAATCATTGTGCCCTTTTGCGAGTTTATTGATTCATGTATTTCATTTTAAGAGATTAGTTGCAAGCAACTGCGACTAAGACTGCAGCAAGTTTTCATAAATGTTAATGTTACTGTGAATGACCGAAATCGGTGGTGGTTGACTGTAATCGGTTAATGTTGACAATCACATAGTCACTTTAAGAAATATTCGAAATATATACTAAGCCTAATTAAGTGCCACTCCCCGTTATGCCCTACATCAATGTTTTTTTAAGTTTCAGTGCCACTGTCTGGTATACATTTGCCTAGTAAGCCCTTCATCAATGTTTTTTAAGGTCAAGTGCCACTGCCCAGTGTGCTCCGATGCTTCTTCTACTCTATTCTCAGCATATATTAATATATCGAATAAATATAATAAAATCAGCGAATAAATTAATATCAAATAGGATATAAAAATATTTTAGACATTCAAAGCGACTATGTGATTGTTGACATTCACCGGTGAAAGTCGACATTCTTCATTCGGTCATTCACAGAATCATATACACATTACTTTAAAGTATCAAACTCGGTAAAAAGTATGAGAATAAAATGATACGGAACTTTGGAAACACAAGGCATGAAAAGGTTGTCGTGAGTTTTTCGTCGAAGTAGCAACTAAGTTTCTCAGTGACTTCAATCCTAGTAAAGTACAGTTGTGGCTACCAATTAACAGAATTCTTCAAAAAATAGCCTGTGATACTTTTATGTTATATCACATTTCGACCTTATTAGGACAATTTGAAACTGGCAGACCGTTTTAGACTTTTTATGACATCACTGCGACAATCTGTGCTATCTGGGACATGGCTTAGACATTACGGCAAAGCAAGACTATAAACCAGAAAAACATAATTCATATACTTAATCTTAGTATAATTACACTTTATCAGTAATAGTTGAAAGTAAATTAATTAAAAAAACAACGAGTAGGTTCTGCTTTTACTTTGAATAGAAGGACATACATTTTAAGTAATTATCCTGTTTTATTAAAAAAAACAGGCTTCATTTGCATATTAACAACGGCAGGAAGATATCTGGCAGGGGTGAAAGCGAGACGGAAAAGAGGAAAGGCTGGTAGTAAAACCATTTCAGTTATAGCTAGTTTTGGGGAGGAGTTTACTTATTCTTTTTTTAAATTTTTCAACAATATCTACTTTATCTTGGAAAAGAAGCAGTTTTATATATATGCCAGAATTATAAAAGAAATCTTGATAGTTACAGATATTTCATTTTTTTCGAAAAAAATGCTGGAATGAAATGTTTTACGTACCAGGTTTTTCTCTTTTCCGTCTTGCTATATAAAGGCTTTCACCCATGATATCTGGCTGCTCTTTCGAGGTATTTTTCCATAATGTTTGTCGAGCCATTGCCCTGTATTTCGTACCATGTTGCTCCTAATAAATTAACAGACTATTGCATACCTGCCAACTCTTCCGGATTTTCCGGAAGATTTTATTTTCATGTTTAAAGTGGTAGTAAATATATACTATTTTTCTTTTATAAACTTAATTTTTTAATGATTTTAATCACCACTATTCCTACAAAAATTAAGCTTATATATTAATATGCGTTACTATCATGGTTGACAACTCAAGTTTTCTCAAATATAACGTATTTGTTTGCTTAAAATTGAAGTTTTAATTCCATTTTAATACCACTGGGAAAAATGATAATGGAAGGGATTAAAAGTTGGCAGGTATGCTATTGCGCAATATACACTTGTCCAGTAGTCTCTACACTGATTTCTTTTTTTAAGATACTATGTATAAAAGCGAATTTAAAAAAGTGCATTTTAGTGATATATTTTTTGAAGTACTGAGTTATAGTTTGCAATATTTGAAATAAATGTGAAAGAAACTGAGACCTTAGTATCACAGATTTATTTCAGTTAGGAAATTCTAATATGTAGCGTAAAAATGAGCATTTGTAAAATATAAATTTGACTTATTTGATAAAATATATATTAATTTTACAAACAAAATCATTAAAAAGCTGTATAAACTAATGGAAAAACTGACTCATTTCTTCCTAAACTGTTTAAAATTCAAAATGATTGTCAATAATTTTTCTTAAAACCTAAATAATACACTGGTTCAAATTCTTCCAAATTCCACATTAACATAATGTGTGAAGATTGCTCAAAATGTTTATATCACTAGTGAGTTTTTTTCAACTTTTACCACCATTTTGAGATTATTAGTTTCGCCATTTCAAATGGAAATCACCAAGCTACGATGATAAAGGCTGATCACGATGACTCTAATGGCTTTGTGCATGATGATATATTGGTCACTTTACACAATAACTTATTTCACTACTGTTTTAATTTGTGAGAGATGTCTTCGATGCATTTCATTTCCTTTTTGCTTTCAGCATCGTCGCTCTCAGGGTCATTCCATGGTTGAAGATCAGCCGAACCAAACAACATGTAGATGAAGCCCGTCACAAAATGCATGGCTGCTGAACTTAAAAACACAAATTCCCAGTTTCCCAAAGTTTGCTGAAAACGAAGAAAAAATATATAAGAAACGTTTTTCTGTATTCAGTGTTTTAAACTACGCAAGTTCTTCCAAAATATTAGATATTACCTATTATGCATATTCAGATACAGCGGCTACAAACTTGGAAAGAAGGTAGGACATTTCATAAAGATTGAGGAGCACATAGCAAACCATAACCGGAACTTTCATGGTACATCACTAGAGTAGCAACCCCATATTAAACAGGCTGTTCGTGCACATTTGGAATTGTATTTTCATTCACCTTATGAGTTATCTTAATGCTATATTGATTAAGGAACTATCGCTGAACAGCCGACCCTATTTTGAGTTTACGACTACCTATGTTCAACTCTGTAGCCTTGTAATTTGGAACACAATCCAGAAGACAAGGCTACTCCTGGATCAAGTATTGGGAGAAATTCATTTTTGTAGAACCTGCATAATAGCATTGGGGAATAGAACTATCCCGCATTTGTGGTGCATGCAGAGAAAAAAGCCAAGATAGTCTCTCATGGTTAGCCCAACGGAAAGAGGACTCATGACCCACCTACCACTAGAGATATTACGTCAGCACTGTGGGTGGTCGGTGTGAACTGGGTTCAGAATTTCGTATCAACCAGCCATCGCTGGGTTTCAAACCTGGGCAACCTCATTAGGAACTATAATGAAATGGTAAGAACTTTGCAATTTTCGTCAAGTTACAGAAAATTTGCTAAATTACAATAAAACAGCTCCTTCCGCTCCTACTAAATTTGACTTCATTAAGATGATTTAGTTTGTTTCAAGTCTTTTTTCAAATGCGACCTGACAGACAGTTTATAACAAGAAGTCAGTTTTTGCAACCCATATCAATTTTGATTGATATACAATTCTGAATTCTTATTACGAGCAATCCCGACTCCCTTCCAATTTCCTTATCACTGAACTGAATTATCCTGCATAATAAACTTGGTTATAATTATTTACCAAACTTAGTAATAATTATAGTATAACCAATTATTTATTTGGTTATATTATAATTATTACGGCTATTATTTAACCAAATAGAAACTTACCCCACTTTTGAGAATATATCCGTCAAATGCAGGTGCCATAAAGCCTGGTAAAGTTGCTATTGCATTTGTTATTCCAAACAATGTGCCTGGAAAAAAAATACTAATTATGTAGTCCAGTAAAATTTGATTTTCCCTCGTGAAAACTAATACCAAAGGCTACTGAATTTTGCACTTTATATAATAGTACTTTTTTGATGAAAAGAAAGTATATAGTTGTCAATTTGTGCACTCGTATAGGAGATTTTTTTGCAGTAGTTCTTTAACTAAATTCTGTCGATGTTGCAGCAGGAAACTTAGATATCTTAAATTTCCTCTGGCTGTCATTGAGTTTCATAAAATGATCACCGCTGATGTAAATTGCATTAAAAAAATTTCAATGACAGATCGGGGAGCTTTTCAAAAGCTTATAGTTTTTAACAGTTTTGCACATACCAGGCTGCAAGAAAGAAGTACTTTATAACATACTCTTAACCTGCATAAATGTATATAGTCCGATACTGATCGTATGATTATGTCCGAATATTTAATGATGAAATATATATCACCCCATGGTTCTTTCAGGCAAATACGTACTTTTCCTCCTTCCCAAATAGATATTTTTCTTGCATGGTTAATATTAATGCAACAAAAACAAAATACAAAACAAAAGAGTAACGGAACAAATTGCTTGTTCATTATGTTATTTAATTCATTGTCCTTACCACTAAAAATGATAGATAATACATCTAGTAATTGCTATTTTCATTCAACATGACAATACACACTCTCTTCTTCCTTTCTTTATTTAACACGTTCACGCCGGGTGTTGCGCCTGAAAGCGGGACGGAAAAGAGAAAATACTGGTAGAAGAACTGTTTCAGTATTCGATAATATTCGGGAGGAGTTAATCTATTCTCAACAACAGACCTGCCAACTTTTAATCCCTTCCATTATCATTTTTCCCAGTGGTATTAAAATGGAATTAAAACTTCAATTTTAAGCAAACAAACACGTTATATTTGAAAAAAATTAAATTGACAACCATGATAGTGACGCATATTAATATATAAGCTTAATTTTTGTAAGAATAGTGGTGATCAAAATCATTTAAAAATTAAATTTATGAAAGAAAAAATAGTATATATTTACTACCACTTTAAATATGAAAATAAAGTCTCCCGCAAAATCCGGGAGAGTTGGCAGGTATGCTCAACAATAACAAGACACTGTAAGGAAATTTATCACGGCGAAGAAACAATTCAAGAGAAAAATTGCAAATTGGTAGTTATGGGTTTTTATTATTCCCGGAAAAAAACTAAAAAATGAAATTTATTTGTGACCAGTTTTTACTCCTGTGCGCCGCCCGATGAGACAATCTAGCGTGACCCACCGGTGGGTCACCCCGGCGTAAACGTGTTAACTGACTTTGAAGAACAACCTTTTCAACTTTCTAGGGAGGCATTACTGTTTCCTGAAGGATATTTAATTTTCATTTTGAAGATTAAAAGTCAGTTTTTAACCGTATTGATACTTCGCCTAACCCCAAAATGGTATCATTTTAACCTAACTAAAATTAGTAACATTTTTGGTGTTTGCATTAAAAATTTTGGAATTTTAAGGCAATACCTCCTACAGATAATATTACTTGATTCGAAAGAAATGTTGTATCTGTAATGCCCATTTGGAATTTCCCTTCTCTACCAGTTATTTGCTTTGGAAAAAAAAGTTGAAAAAACGACACACCGTAGTGGTCACCCACCCGCTCACTGCCCGATGTCAGAGATGCTTGACTTCGATAATTTGCACGTATCCGTGTCTTAACGGCCAGTACACAACGGGAACTTTCAAAATATTGTTACGAAATATTTAAATAAGAAAATCGACTTGTATATTTTCGATGCGGTGCAACGTTCAGTGGAGTCACTTTTGAATTTCACAACGAAAGGGTTAAAAACTAAACACAGAGAAGTAGAGAATGTTTGATAACGTTTATTGTTCAATAGAAAACCAGACGATATTTGTTTATTAGAGTTTATAAAATTTTTCCATAACATTTTTTTTATTCCATCTTTGTGCGTTGAAGAATAAATTTCAATTTAAAATTAAAATTCGTGTTTCAGTGCTTTTTTGTTTATATATCAACACTTTTTACATTGTAGACATCATTGTTGATTAATTTTTGCATAGATAATTTAACAATTTTAATATTTTCTTCCAAAATCATACCTCCTATTTCACAAAATGCTAGAAAATTTTGCTCAAATTAATTTAGACCATCTTTTTAAATTTTATAATATGATCATTATTATTATTACAACAACGTTTAGATAAATATTTTAGCACTATTTATTTTTCATTTGTTTATGAAAATGCTAACATTGGACTCTCTTTCAACACCGGAGAAACAAAATTCCAGTCCATCTATCAGGGATGATACAGGCGACTATTTATATAAAAAGCAGTAGAAACTAAATTCATTTATTTATTATCCCTTTAAGTATTCAATCGTATCTGCCACTATGACTAACATATATTATTCATATACAAACATTTTTCGCATTCACTTTTAATACTAAACTGAATTTTTTTTTATAAAAAGCTGCTAATTTTTAATTTCTTTTAATAAATTTGAAAATTATTAGTCAGTACTTTTTTTTACATTTTTAGTCACTCGCGGCAACTCTGCATCTATAGATGAAAATATTAAAAAAAAAGAAAAAACGTTATCAAATAATACTTACCAGCGAAACGTGGACTCATGTCAACATGGTTAACCATGAACCCAGAGTAAACTAATCCATTTAATGCGTAGGATAAGGAAAATAATATGATTATGATAATTGGGTGACAGCCAATGAGGCCTATAGCTACAGCACACAGCCCTGGTCCAAAAAATCCTGGAATCAAGAAAGTGAAATAATTATCAGCCGGAAACAAAATATGCTTTTTTATGCATGTTATCGCTGAAGTTAGAAAACCGATAACATATACTTAACTAATTTGCAAAATAACTGATTTTCTCTAATAAAGAGAGGAATCAACATTTTGCCAAGGAAATGTGAGACATCGGTATCATGAAACTTTTAAAAATTTTTCCTCTCATTCCATCAATTATTTTATTGATTGTTATGACTTAATACATTAGATATCAAAATATTAAATTTCCTTAATACAATACTTAAGTTAACTTAATGTTCTAAATTACAATAATATAAAAATATTGCTGCAATTAAGGAAATTGTGTACATTTCCTTAATGGCAATAATATTTTAAACCGTTTTGGTTTAGCATATTAGTTTTTAATGTGATTGATGATTGTTTGGTTTTTGTATTTTGGAAGTTTCGATAGCGTGAAATAAAGAACTATGTGTAAATGTAAACGTGCTAAACCATAGTTGCTGCCCAAGCGAATATTTCGTTTTCGCTGTAACAAATTATTTGCAGGCAACAATCTTTCTTTTTCTTTTCTTTATTTAGCAAAAACAGGGCACCTGGGCCTCGCAGCGACCCCTATCCCATACATCATACAATAATTATATACATTGACTTAAAACATTTTGATTTCAGCAACATTATGGTAGCTATTTCTAAAAGTCAAGTAATTTGCTTGATAAATTAAAAATATTTTGTATTACAATAAATTTAAATATGATAATTATATACTGGCATGATTTGAAAATATACGTTGGTACTTATTTACAGACATAATTGGAGATAGATTCATTAATCATGATTTGCAAAAAAGAAACATTGTATTCAAACATAATTAGTGAATGTGCGATAGTAATTATATGCAGCTTGATTTGAAAGTTATGCATAGAATTATGAAAGTGAAATGGATATTAAGCAATTGAAAATTATTGAACGAGTTGATACATAGATATAACCATAAGTCTAGCTGTAAAAATCTTTGATTTTGCCAAACTTTACTGGCGCCATCTGATGACGTAAACAACTCGAAATTGATTGAACGGAAAACATACTATATTTGTTAAATTAGGCAGTGTGGAAATACGAAATTAGAGTTCTGTGATTAAAATAAGAGTTCAAATTAAGGCAAAAGATGTCACTGTTCAGGAGTGGTCTCCCTCATGATCGATTGTAATAGTTGGAACACTTCTTTGTCTTTTAAAAGTTCCTGAAGTTCTTTGATTATCGCTACCAATCTGTGAGCTTGTCCTGTAGTTGTGGGTGGAATGGCATGGAGCCCCCTCCTGGGGGGACGGGCTTTACACCCCGTGTAGTTGGCAGTGTGGGTTTCCCCACAATTGCAGCTTTTAGGTGGTGTGTAGATGTCCTTGTGGCACTCATAAGATCGATGTTCCGTGGCACATTAAACACATCTTGGAGGTGAGTTGCATGTTCTTTGAATGTGGCCAAACTTTTGGCAGTTATAGCACTGAATCGGGCCTCTCCCGCCGCGAAACCTTTCAATTTTGACCGGTACATCATATATGCTGGTGACGGAGAAGATTTGTTGGTTTTTCTCCATTTCTAAAAGGATTGTGAAAAACTGGGAGGAGCCGATAGGCCTCGCCCACTTTACTCTTGAACTGTATTACTTTTTCAGTAGAGATGCTTGCTTTCCCCAGATCATGGGAGATATCTTCTGTTTTTAGTTCAGCTGGGAATCCACGAATTAAAACTTTAATATGCTTGATTGTTGACTCTTTTACTGGAGTTGTGGGTGGAACTGCAGCTTCATTTGCATGCTCCATGAGTGCAGCTGAGTAGGAATCTGCTAGGGTTTTAGGTAGTGGTGAGGAAGAGGCGGCATCTAGTGATGAAGAAGCGCTGCTGTTTTCAATAATGATTAATTCATCTTCAGTTTTTTTGGCGTTAGTTTGCTTTTTCTTCCTCTTCTTTCGTTTTTTTTGGAGGGGGTTCTGTGGCATTTTTGGTAAAACTTTTTGAATCAATGGTCGACGCCTGCCCAGTCTGTTCCAGTAGTAGGCCGCCTTCATAAATTTCCATGTCTGTGACATCAACTGTTGTAGTCAGCGTTTCAGGATTGTTTGGCAAATGCGTGAGAGGCTGCATGTATTTATTCATTTTCTCAAGCAGTTCTTTCCTTTCCCTTTCATCTTCTTAAAATTTCTTTTTCGTGTCCGCAAGCAATTTGTCGGTTTTAGCCATCATGGTGCCAATGTCCGTGTATTCCACGTCCGTCGTTGAGTCACGTGCATGTCCTTCAGTCTACCGCTTTCCGCCACGTCCGTGATGATGATAAGTAGCCATTGTAGCGTAGTTGAATTATCAGCTTAATCGGTATGGTTGCGTAAATTGATGACTACAATTTGCCGGCAGGAACCTTTACATAACTTGCAACTACTCAAACTCTCAAATCAATTAATTGCAAGAGAATCAAATCAAAATCAGACATAATAGCAAGAGAATGAAATAGGTACGACTGACTCGAAAGAAATTGTCAAAATCCAAAAAACCTTAAGCTGACTAAAATCAAACAGAGAGTCTGATTGATCTTTATGTCCTTGAGTATCGATCTCAATATTTAAAATGGTAGTAAAATTTTTTACCTTTATACTTTATTGCTGTTTTAATATATTTGAATTGAAATGAATTTGACTACCTTTACCTTTAAACTGCCTAAACATACATAAAAGGGACCAGCTAATCATTTTGATGTGTTTTAGGTGTCATCCAAATCATTAGGTGTCCACAAAATATTTGTTTACATTCTTTCTTCAATTGGCATTTTACTGCCACTAGAGAAAATCTACTTTGAAACACACTTAAGTTAGCAGATAAGTAAAGTGAATACTATGTTGGTATTTTGCTGATTGCCTATGTACTATTTGCATATCTGCCAACATTCACTCTTTTCGAGAATGGATTTTCCAAGTGGTAGTAAAACAATTACCGAAAAACTATCTTCCTCAAAAATATATTTATATTTTAATCTGGTTGAATTTTGCTATCGTAAGGAATAATATGCTTTTATAAATTAATTGTAATTATTTATATGTAGTGGTGGTCAAACTGATTTAAAATTATTATTATAATTCAAAAGGTTTAGTGAAATAACAAGAATTTCGCTAGCACTTTAAATATGAAAATAAAATCTTCTCGGAAAACCGGAAGAGTTGGCAGCTATGTATTTGAAATAAAACAGCTTTTTATCACTTTTACCATACCTGCCAATTTTTAATCCTTTCGAGGATAATTTTTCCCAGTGGTAGTAAAGTGGAATTTAAATTACAATTTTCGGCAGTGACTTACGTCTTATTTTCAACAAGCTTATGCGGATTATCTACTTACCTACTTACTTTATTTAACTAAAACTGGGTGCCTGGGCCGCGCAGCGGCCCCTAACCCATACATCATGAAATATTTATAAGTTGAATAAAAAACATTTTGAAATATGCAGCATTAAGGTAGCATTACAGAAGATCAAGCAAATTTGCTTGATAAATTAAACATGAATTGACATGTGCGGATTATCTAGACAGTATTGCATATTAATATATATGATTAGTTTTTTTAAAAATAGTGGTGGATTAAAAAGGTTTTAAATTAAGTTTATAAATGCAAAGAATATATAGAAAGCATACATTTTACTACCACTTTAAATGCAGAAATAAAATTTTACGCCAAATGCGTAAAAGTTGGCTGGTATTCTTTTACAGATCACATCTAATTGCACTGCACATAAGATCTGAATATCAGAAATAAATTACTTCTACTCTACTTACATTTTAAACATGATATTTAATACAAGCGATATCGTACATAAAACTTTTCAGATTTTGTTAGCAATTATATCTATTTAAATTATTTATGCTTAGCGGTGGTCAATGGATCGCTTTTGTTGGGAAATCAAATAAAACCATCAACCCATGTTGGTCTAACAACTTAACACGTTCACGCCGGGTGTTGCGCCTGAAAGTGGGACGGAAAAGAGAAAATACTGGTAGTAGAACTATTTCAATATTCGGGAGGAGTTAATCTATTCTCTACAATAACAATTTACTGTAAGGAAATTTATCACGGCGAAGAAACAATTCAATATAAAAATTGCATCCGTTAAAAACAATTGGTAGTTATAAAGTTTTATTATTCCCGGAAAAAACCTAAAAATTGAAATTTAATTGTCGCCGGTGTGAACGTGTTAAAGTAGTTCTAAATCCTAACATGGGGTGAGGGTCATTTTTGATGGTTCCATAAAGAAATAAGATGGTTTTTGATGGGATATTTAGTTGGAACCCAATAAAGTATGATGGTTATTGATAGATTGCTTTTGTTTGTTTGTTTGGTCATCAAACAAAACTATCAATCCAAGTTAGTTTTGCTCACATTGATCCAACATATATATCGACTGATGATCGGTCTTGAAGGTACCATTACGAAGTTAGGTTTTTGATGGATGCTTATGATAGTAACCAATTTGCTCATTTTGGACCATCATTGAAAAACCATCAAAATTTTTGTCTTGGATGCTGCCACCAACAACGCTCCTTACGAAATATTTAATATAGACAAAAGCGGGCATCTGACTTCTTCTTCTCTCCGTTTTGCCCTGGGGCGACTGAGACTTGGCGTTAAAATTTTAGTTCGCCAGTGGTTTTTTATCTGAACTTTTGAATTATTTACGTGTAGTGGTGTGAAAAATAATTTCAATACGAATCATAATTTCGAGCATAAACTTATCTAACACTAGACGGAATTTTTCTCAAAGGCAAACTAAGTTGACAGCCCTGTTAAGTTTATCAATTCTTTCCTAAGGCTGGTGAGCACCCTGCTCATTACTCGCTATATTAATAAGCTTCTGCTTATTAATTTTGAAAAAAAAATTAGAAATAAGAAGGAAAAAAATAACTTATCGGTATTCTATTTCAATACACAGTACTTCGATAAATGTTAGCTTAAAATTTTGAAAATAAAATAAAAAACTTAATAGAAATAAGGAATACGGAATTACCAATTCCGGTGATGAGTTTCCTAATAGTGGTGATTTGGAGATAACCACCAGCTCTGAGAAAATCTGCGACAACACTTGCAGGGAATGCAAAAAGTGACATCATCAGAAAGGGGAGGCCGGACAAAATTCCATTCTAAAAAAAAAAGAAATTACTCATGGAAAGTATTTCTTATTTAAATTAGGATCAATGCGTCGATCAATCGAATCTAATATTCTAGGTTTGTGAATACACATAAAAATTTGACACAAAATATTAAACGAAAAGAACTGCGAAAAATTGGATTAGTCATAAGAAATTCGACAAATTTAAAACTTATATTAGATAACAATTGTTCTTTTCCGGCATTAACCCCTTGGGGACGGGTGATTCAGAAAAGCATTCGTACAAAATCAGAATCCAGTTGTAATGAAATAAAAAACGGTAACTTAAAAGTAGTCGTTGCTAATTTAACAGACTTACTTTGCTTTTACTTTAATTATTGTTAGTTTAATCATATATATAATCAATGTTAATTCAAAGTATAACTAAATAGTTTTATTTTGAACAAAGTAATGGTGAATTAAAAAAATCAAACAATTATAACTCCTCCCACAAATGAACTGCTAAAGAAATACTTTGATTACCAGTTTTATCTTTTTACCCTGATTGATACGGTTTCATGCTGTCACGTATTTGTGACAGTCGGCGCGAAAGGGTTAAAGAATAACATTATTTAGCATTTACAAATAAATTGTTGACATTGCTGTTATATTGTTGACATAAATTGTTGACAGTGCTGTTATATGTATTCGTTCATGCGTCAAATTGACGCGTGCTCGTAGAGATAGGTGTATAAGAAACGTCCGTAATCCTGGTGTTAAGACATAAATTTTGCAACCACTAGAATATATTTATTTGCAATATGGCACAATCGATTTGCAGTATCAGTGATTCACCTTTCTCCACAATAAAACAACTAGCTGGTCCTTTTATATGTGTTTAAACTATCCAAATTTAAAGTTAGTTAAAAGTATATTAACACGTTGAATGCCACGCTAGTTTTACATGGCTTGCTCGTCTGGGCACACGGTAAATAACTACAAACTAAATTTGCAAATATAGACAGATTATGCTAGTTTATACGAGGTTTAGCATGCCAGTTTGCGAAAAGTGGTGAATTATATATGCTTAAGAATTTTTTTAAAAATAGTGGTGGATAAAAATATACTAAACTGAATTTATTAAACCAAGAATCACAATAATGAAGTATTTTGTATAAGTATTATGAATAATTAAGTATTTTGTATAAGTATTATGAATAATTAGGTATTTTGAATAATTTATAATTCTGAATAATTTATAATTTTGAATAAAGTTTCTGCAATTCCATAAAAGAGTGTAAATTTTATAGGTTTATATCATGCACTACGCTGTCAGTCAGCTGTTTTTCGCAGACTATGTGAAAGGTCAGTGTCAGCAAGCGGTGGCAGACGCAGCCTAAATGTAATTTCAGTGTCAGCCACCGGTGGTTGACGCGGCCTAAATGTAATTTTAGTGTCAGCCACAGGTGGTTGACGCGGCCTAAATGTAATTTCAGTGTCAGCCACAGGTGGTTGACGCGGCCTAAATGTAATTTCAGTATCAGTCCCCGGTAGTTGACGCGGCTTAAATGGAAACTACAGTGTCAGCCACCGATTGCTGACGTGGCGCTCAACGTGTTAAAGCATATTTTCTAAAACAGGAATCAAGCATGAATACAAAAATTTTACTACAGCATTAACTATTCATGTAAAACATGGGAAATCCAGAGGATTTTTCCAGGTATGCCAACTTATCCTTTACTGCAATACTTTTAATAAACTGGTCGCGAATTAAATAGCAAAACTTGTTGAACAAGCATGATTTCGCCTACTTTTTACGTCAAACGTGTCATAGCGAGAAAACAGTACAAAAGTTGAATTTCATACGATACTCCGAATTTTAGATACGTAGTGATGGAAAAAATTACTGAAAAGGAAGAACAATAAATAAAAATACATCAATAAATAAATTATGAAAATTTAAATTTTGTTGACGTTAGAAAATATATTTTTTACAAAGCGGAACAAGTTGGCATCCCTGCTTTTTAGAAATGAGATAGAACAGGAAAAAACTTACATCTTTCAAATCGAAATGTAAAACATTCGATAGATAAGTAGGCATCATGGTCAAAAAATTGTAAAATACCCAATTCTGTCCAAAATGAGCTATAATCAAGGCCCAAAATGGCACTGATGTCCATATTGATTTCCATGGTGTTTTGACATCCTGTAATAATGAAACACTAACAATAATATCGATAACACTGATGAAAATTGTTTTTTGGTGCATTTCTACTAGAACTTGATGTTATAAAATTTGAGTGGGAGAATTTAACGATAATCAATTCAGACAATTATTCAGATCTTTCAAAACAACGATAATCAATTGTTTGTATAAATCCAACAACAATTTTGTTCCCATCAGTTGATTTAACCGGTTAACGCCCAGCGTCATATATTTAGGACAGTTCCTTTTTTCAAAAACATTAATTGTGGTGGGAAACTTTTTTCAGCATTTTCATTTATCTGGGTGAATTAAAAGATTCTCAGATACCACAATAATTCAGTTATTTATGATTAGATCTAGAATTATAAGGAGCAAGTACTTTTAGATCCATCAAAGACTTTTTGAATGCCATAACAGTAGAAAAACCAATTAATTTCAATAATATATTAGTTATACCACTGTTTCCATAAAACCACTTTTTGTATCATTTCAATATATAATTCCGGGACAAAACGGGTTAAATTAACTTGGAAGAAAATAAAATGGTTTAAAGGTAGCTCTGTTTAAAACTGTTGATTACAAATAGAACAGATTATACGACTCAATGAATTACTACCAATTAATTGGAAAAAACTGATTGAAATCAGTTGATGATTTAAACCAGGTTTTGGAATTATAATTGGGAATGATTATTCAAACAACTGAAGCATTCTATAGTCATCTATATTTGTATACAGCTATATTTGAGACAATCTATATTTAAATGCTAAACAGAAAATGTGGAAAGGTTATTTTTTTAAGATATGCGAAGTTAGCCCCAGAATTTAATTTTTAGGATTATGTCCAAAATAAGGGTGGTCAAAAAAATTAAGGGGTGGGCATTTGTGGTCAAAAAGCGGTCAAACGAATACAAAAATTTGATTTTTATTCATTTGGCTTGAAAATGCGAAGTTAGCCCCCGAATTTAATTTTTAGGATTATGTCCGAAATAAGGGTGGTGAAAAAAAATTAAAGGGTTGTCATTTGTGGTCAAAAAGTTGTCAAACGAATACAATATAAAAATTGGAATTTTATTTATTTTTCGAAAAAATGCGAAGTTAGCCCCCGAATTTAATTTTTATAATTATGTCCAAAATAAAAGTGGTCAAAAAAATTAAGGGGTGGTCATTTGTGGTGAAAAAGTGGTCAAACGAATACAATATAAAAATTTGATTTTTATTCATTTGGCGTGAAAATGCGAAGTTAGCCCCCGAATTTAATTTTTAGGATTATGTCCAAATTAAGGGTGGTCAAAAAAAAAATTAAAGGGTGGTCATTTATAGTCAAACGAATACAGTATAAAAATTGGAATTTTATTTCTTTTTCGAAAAAATGTGAAGTTAGGCCCCGAATTTAATTTTTATAATTATGTCCAAAATAAGGGTGGTCAAAAAAAGTTAAAGGGTGGTCATTTGTGGTCAAACGAATACAATATAAAATTTTGATTTTTATTCATTTGGCGTTAAAATGCGAAGCTAGCCCCCGAATTTAATTTTCAGGATTATGTCCAAAATAAGGGTGGTCAAAAAAATTAAAAAGGTGATCATTTGTGGTCAAAAAATGGTCAAACGAATGCAGTTTGAATTTTCGATTTTCCTCATTTTCGGGGGCTCTCTTCGCATAGCTTTATTTTTATTTAGAGTCAAATAAATGTTCTGTTCAAAGTAAAAACAAATGCTTTAAAAAATTAGCAAAACTTTTAAAAAATGGAAATAAACACTCAAGCCAAAATTATTTATACTGTGACGACTGCATTGTGCATTTAATGTAATATTACTTCTTAAAAAGGTTTATTTTAACATTACATGTAAGAGCTTATTTACGAATTCATTTAAATTGTGCATTCCGGAGTACTGAAAATTAAGGATTAACAATGGATATATAAAAAATTTATTTCAATTTATATAACAAATCTATAAATTATATTTACTTTATATTTACCTCAACTTATATTTGCCTCAACTTATATTTACCTCAACTTTTAAAATATGGTTTTACTCTCTTTAAGAAATGCTATGATTCAATAAATTGGACTTACATCTGATCTGGATTTGTCTAAATTGTCTTGGATGTATGCTAATTCCTCTTTAGAGATTCGGGGATGGACATCTGGTGTGTCATAGGCTAGCACTGCCCAGAAGATAAACCAACAGCACCCGAATGTTCCTGAAATAAAATATTGCTTATGGTTTTATTTGAAATAATGATTTGGTCACAAAAAAGAAACAATTTATATAACTAGACACCGTCATGGTTAAAAAAGTTATAATTAAAGAAAGAAAATTTAAAACTCTTTTTCAAACCTCTGACGTAGAATTTTTATTAAACTTATTTTTCAGGCTTTTTTCATTTAATGGGTCGAGGGACTTCTCCGGCTATCTTGCTTTGGTAAAAAGAAAACCTTTAATCGTTATTTCTTAAGTATTTAAAATCTAAATATGGTACAAATGTGAATACTAAAATGTGAGAACGTGTTTAATTCTGAAGTATAAACTAAGAAAGAGAATTTAGATGAAGAAATAACAATCACTTAAGTCTTGGTGTGCAAAATCACGTTCACTCAAATTTACAGAACCAAGAATATTCTTAAAATTCTCACTAGAAGAAAAATGTATTAAGTTTGGATGACTCAAAAAACAGTTTTCCCATATATTTGAGCAAATTGGCATGAATAGATTTATGCTAGAGTTGATATTTACTAGCATTAGCTACCATTTGAGTTAACCCCTAAACACACAGATTTTTTGAAAATATCCGGTAAAAGAAAAAAATTTTTAATGTAAAAAAACACAATTTAGAACATTGTCTTTTCTTTTGGTGGACAATTTTAATATACTGCACCTTTGTTCCATAGAAAAAGGCTATATTCTGAGATGTCAACTGCTGCGGTCACGCCAAAATAATCTTTAGCTTGATCTTTGTGGTGATTAAATGCGGTTGTGGAATGCAAATGAAGTAAAGGAGTATTCATGCGGATCATGGAGGTTTTGACTGTGTAAATTTATGCAGTAGGGTGATAAGACTATATTGTAAGAGTATGAACTTTTACTTAACTGATATGATGAAAAAGAGGCTGTGTGTATGCTATTGAATGACTTCATACTGGATGCTGGATATTGGGGTTATCTCGGCTCTTAGCGCGAAGAGCCACTAACCGATTCATCGAATCGGTTTTGTCGTATTCTAGGAGGTCTTAAATATCAATGAAATTGTAGTATGTTGTAACAACAAATCAAGTCCTTAAAGAAGTAAATCTTGAGTTTAGAAGTGAAAATCATCATTGGGATGGGGAGATCTCCTTGAGTAGAATTTGTAAGAGGCAAAGAACTTCTTGATCTTTCATGAGCTCTTGCAATTCTTTCATAAATAGCACTAGGCGGAGAGCTGAAGTTGCAGGAGTAGAGGCTTTATTCTGGAATCTTTTTCTGCTGGGGCGGGCCTCGCACCCAGAGAAGTTGGAAGTGTGGTCTTTTCTGCAGTTGCAACAAGTTGCTGGAGTATCTTTGCTTTTCCTACACTGATAGGAGCAGCTTGGAGTCTTTTCATTATTCTTATCAGTGGCTTGCTTCTTCTTCTTTTTTCTCTTTTTGGCTGGAGGTTCTTTTGTACTTTCAGTCTGGGGCTCAGTTTCAGAGGCCTCCTCACTATGTTCCAAGTTTTGGTCTGTTTCTGTGTCTTTGGCTGTGACCAAATCCTCTGTAGTTTGAGCTTTGGGTTCGGGAGTNTTAACCCCTAAACACACAGATTTTTTGAAAATATCCGGTAAAAGAAAAAAATTTTTAATGTAAAAAAACACAATTTAGAACATTGTCTTTTCTTTTGGTGGACAATTTTAATATACTGCACCTTTGTTCCATAGAAAAAGGCTATATTCTGAGATGTCAACTGCTGCGGTCACGCCAAAATAATCTTTAGCTTGATCTTTGTGGTGATTAAATGCGGTTGTGGAATGCAAATGAAGTAAAGGAGTATTCATGCGGATCATGGAGGTTTTGACTGTGTAAATTTATGCAGTAGGGTGATAAGACTATATTGTAAGAGTATGAACTTTTACTTAACTGATATGATGAAAAAGAGGTTGTGTGTATGCTATTGAATGACTTCATACTGGATGTTGGGGTTCTCTCAGCGTTTGGCGCCAAGCGCCACTAACCGATTCATCGAATCGGTTTTGTCGTATTCTAAGAGGTCTTAAATATGAATGAAGTTGTAGTATGTTGTAACAACAAATCAAGTCCTTAAAGAAGTAAATCTTGAGTTTAGAAGTGAAAATCATCATTGGGATGGGGAGATCTCCTTGAGTAGAGTTTGTGAGAGGCAAAGAACTTCTTGATCTTTCATGAGCTCTTGCAATTTTTTCATAAGTAGCACTAGGCGGAGAGCTGAAGTTTCAGGAGTAGAGACTTTATTCTGGAATCTTTTTCTGCTGGGGCGGGCCTTGCACCCAGAGAAGTTGGAAGTGTGGTCTTTTCAGCAGTTGCAACAAGTTGCTGGAGTATCTTTTCTTTTACTACACTGATAGGAGCAGCTTAGAGTCTTTTCGTTATTCTTATAAATGGCTTGCGTCTTCTTCTTTTTTCTCTTTTTGGCTGGAGGTTCTTTTGTACTTTGAGTCTGGGGCTCAGTTTCAGAGGCCTCCTCACTATGTTCCAAGTTTTAGTCTGTTTCTGTGTCTTTTACTGTGACCAAATCCTCAGTAGTTTGAGCTTTGGGTTCAGGAGTGGGAACTGGATCTTCATTTTTCTTTAATTCCATTTCCTTCTGTTTATATCATAGACAATACTGTAGACATAATTTTTGACAGGTTCATGAAACATATATAATGTGGTCCAAGTCGCACACTCTTGAGATAATCTCGAAGAAAATCATTCGCTTTGTACAGTTCTCCCAAGGAAAGCTGTGAGTAGAATTCTCCTTGTTTATTAGACTGAACTAAGTTTTTAGGTGGAATGCATTGCAGGGGAATCCCGTAGGTCGCAATTAGATCGTCTAAGGATGTTTCATCTACTCCAGTCAAGTCATGAGAACGGCCGGAAGGTAAAACATTTTCGCCGCGAGCTCTCTTCGAATTCTAGTAGTTGCTCCAGTAGAGGCTCCAGCATAAATCCTTAAAATGACTTCATACTTTTGAGTGGTGCGAATTGTATTAGTCTATGAATTATTTAGAAATAGTGGTGTATAAAAATCTACTAAATTGAGTTTATTAAACCAAAATTCGCAATTTATTAACTACCACTTTAAAATACATATTTGCTGTCCGGAGCACGTTGGCACCTCACTATATTTTGTTCTTGAGCAAATATGTGTTGTAGCTTACAATCCTATGTAAATGATAAATATTAATAAAACGATTAATTTTCTTACCTTTTACATTGTTATTTTTAATTCTCGATTATATTCTAGTGTTAAAACAGCATAAAATACAACGCCATTCGAATTATTTCGAGTGTGCACAGTTTGGCCGGTTTAGCATGCTCGAATTAACTCGAGCGCACAAGTTAAGGTGGTAAATAATAATGCTGAAATTTTAGATTGAAATATAACCATTTATACCAACGAGAACAATGACTGTCGTCTCCGAGATGAATTTCAAGAAAAATAAATGAATTACTATTATTTTTCTATAAGAAACAAGTTCATGAGAATGATCACGTTGAATTGGAATAATTGAATAGACTTTTTTTTCTTTTTTAGATTCTAATTAAATATTTAAAAAAAATCAATATGAAAAATTTATACATTTTTAAAAAAAGTTATGTTACCACATTTTTAAATTAAAATTAAATATAGATTATAAGTAATTTTTCCGTAGTCATACAAACATATTTCGTAAACTTGAAAATTTTCAAGCAGGCTTGCTAAACAGTAGGCTGTACCTTAATCATAGTGAAAACTAACTTCAAATTATTGAGTGTCTACATTTTAATATTGCGAATTCCTGAAGAGTTTTCGACTCAATAATTATTCTTAACCTTTTCGGGACGGGCGAGTCATAACTATATTCGTATGGAATCAGAAACAGGATGAGTAAAAATAAAATGCGGTAATTTAAAATTTGGACATGGCTAATTTGCAAACCTTATTTTCGCGTTCACTTTAAATCTAATACATCCAATCTATAATTTTTAAATGTGCAACTATATCACTTGAATTAAGTCTTGGTGAATTAGATAAAGAAAACTATTATTACCCCGCCCACAAATAAACTGCTATGAAAATTGTTTGGCTACCAGTTTTATCTTTTTCACCGTGATTGTCACCTTCCTGAGAATGCATACATGACTCGCCCGTCTCGAAAATGCTAATTACATCACTCTGAATTATCAGGAAATTTGCAATTTTTAAAGGACAGAGAGTTATCAAGGTTTGGGAAAAATTATAAAATAATAACCGAAGTCATTAGAGGCTAATCAAATATTAACATTTTCATTTTATAGATTAATCTATAAAATTATATTTAGATTTTAATTTTTACTTAACCCCTTTGTGCCAAGCGTCCTTTTAAGAAGGCGGTTTCTTTTCCTAAAAAGGAAACAAAAAGTTGTTACTCACTTGTTTTATTACAAGGGTTGCCATTGGCGATTACAATTTCAAAAAGTGGTGGCTTGTAAAAAGTTGTAAGCAAAATATATGTATAAAAGTCGTAAAAGCGTGATAAAATTTGTATAAGTAGTAATAAACCCAAAATTGGGTCAACTGTTTCAACGACGGTTACGAAATATAAAATATTTTAAACATTGTCAACCCATTCTGAAGCATAATTGCAAAAACGCAATTTTTTGAACTGACGTTAGAAGCACTCGTATTAAAAAGTGGTAGGGCACCCTTCAACAATTTAAGTTCACCATATCCTTCAACATTTTAGGTCACTGAGAAATATTATTTCCAACAATAGTGAACTGAAGCATAAATACATTACGGAATTTTTATGAAACTTTCATCAGAGCTTATGAGCATGACGATTTTCTGTTTGGTCTTTTATAAATCTTTTTAAATCATTTACATGACTGGTCTTAGAATGTATGGAGTCAATATACGTCCTTATCTTCATAAATACAAGTTTGTCTACGATCTCAACAACGCGTGCACTGGGGAGCACATTTTTTTGCTGAATTCATGCATGAATCAGAAATAAGTTCCGTTCAGAAGGCTACAGATTTATTTCA